GCCATGATTCCAGATCTATTTCACCAAGTATGTCCCTACCCTCTCCTTGGCCCTTGTTAAAGCTTCGTGTTGGGGCTGCCTGGCAAAGGCTGCTCCTAAGAGATTTCTGAGTACAGGAGCCTTTTCTCGAAATGTGGTGAGAACTGAACCGGCAGGAGTAATACTAGACTCAGGTATTTGTAGTATGAAGTGTAAGAATTTGCCAGAGGAAGTACCTTTCCAGCTTTTAACTGTAGTGTTGCTTCGTAATTATTCATTTGGCTGGAAAATTCCAGGTTTCTTAAAGGCTAACCCAGATGCAACTTTGCCAGGAATTGCATTACTTGGAAAATAATAAAACCCCTATGAATATACAGTCTCCAGGTGAAACTGGACGCTGAGCATATTGTTGGAAGCGGTCTGAGTCTCGTTAAACACCTACCCCAGTGTTACAGTTGCACTCCTTTACAGAATGCTTATATGGTTGCAAGTGACAAGGATTTCTCTTCATGTGGTGGTAGAGAATGAAGAAACCAGTTCTGTAGAACGTACAGGGAGCTCGGATTTAAAATGGTAAATATCTGTCCAAGTAGAAGGTCAGTCGTACTTTGCAGATTTCTCTGCCCCATGCTCCTCACCAAATCCTCATGAATTGTATTTCTTATCAGTTCTCCTCGGTTTGTTGATACTTTTAACATGAGGGAAAACTATTTTGATATTTCTCTGTCAGTTATTTTGACATTAATCAACACTGCAGATCTTGTTTTGTTTGGTGTCTGGGTACATCATAAAAAGAGTTGCTGAAAGAGTTCAATTATAATATCAGCATCTCTGCCAAATGTATTGAGCTGTTCTGAAAAGCGGCTTGTCTTTTCTGACCCAGATACACAGTTTCCAACTGTGGGAGATGCTGCCAGAAAGACTCTTGGCAGAAGGCCAGCAATAAAATTATACTGCAGAAAAACACAACATATTTTCAGCAGCACTTTGTGTGGTGTGACGAAAAATTACCTGTCTCCGGAATGGAGAAGTCAAAATAAACTTGCCATTTAAAGTTGTGAGCCTCTTATTCTGACTTCTAAAAGTAGCAAAAAGAGGATATAAATTGCATTTACCCATTCTGTATAAATTCCAGTTCTTTTCTGTTACTGTGTCTGATACACCTCAGGCTGTGTTAGATACTCACTGGTTTGTTATTAGCAACCTTAGTTGTCCTTGCTGCTCTGCTGACACAAACTTTGAATGATCTTAGGGTGGTTGACTGTATTTCTCATGGGCAGATACACTAGTGTTAGAGGTAGATTAGGAGGGTGGAGGCTGTTTTTAATCCGTCAGCTGCGTATTGTTGGTGTGTGCTGCCTCGATGTAGCATTTACAACCAATTTTTCTGATATTCTACTCAGCCTGGCCAGGTGCCTGAACAGCAGCTCGCTGAAGTGAGGGTTTGGAGCCCAGTGCCCCTGGTTTCCTCTTCTCTCTTGCACCAGTGACACCCCCGTGCGCGGTTCCGCTCCGTGCTGCGAGGGGACACCAGGATGCCAAATGCAGTTCGTGTCTCCTTCCTAGGAGCTCGTAGCTCCCGATTCTGATGCTGCAGTTCAGTCCCCATGGAGTGCAAGCGCCTGTTCCTCCTGCTTTTTCACTTTTCTGTTCACAAGCACTCAAAGGCAGCTGAGCATATTCATCACTTCTGGCTGTTTAAATGTCTGTCCCTTGGGAACACAACCGCCAGATGCAGGAATATATCCTACTACAAAGGCCTCATCTCAAATTCTTTTCCTTGTTTGTCTTGTGCCAAAGCATAAACTTCCGCTGTGAAGGATGGGATGTTTAATGGAAACATTGTTAGACTGTCAGGGTGTTTTAATAACATTTCTAATGTGTCAAATCCACAGTGACTTTAAACCACATGCAGACTCTCCTCAGCTCCTCTGTGACCTGGTTTGGAGACAGCAAGTTATTTACTCTTGGTTTACACTTTAGGGCTACGTGATGCAGAGGTGAAGTGACTTTCTCAAGGTCACCAAGGTCTTGGTAGTGCAGTAGCTTTTCCTAGAAATTATCTTGCAAGTGTGGGTGGCAGCCCCTGGGTAAGACAACCGTGCATCTGAGTGTTGTGCTTTTGACTCTGGGCATCAGCTGTTACTTCCCTAAGGATGCAGGGACAAACACCCTGCTGCAGCCTGGTAGTGAAATGAGGCTGTTGGATTTATGGAATTGCTGCTCACTTCACATAATGCTTTCTGATGTGTTTGGTGCTGAGCTGTGTTCTGCTGCCTTGGTCCATATGGTTGGAGCAGATTTGATTTTAGTTTTCCTTAATTTAATTCTGCATGCTGTCAAATGTACTTTGTTCTGTATATTGTGTCTGCACTTTTATAGTAAACTCCCTCCTGTTTAGTGCTTTTGTTGAAAATTTTCTCTCAAAGTCTGAACTATATTAGGTTTTCACTCCTGCGCGCGTTTCTGTGAAATATTCTTAGGATGTTAATGACTTGAAAGACATCGTATATCAGCTTCAACTCAGCTTCCAGGGTTGGGGTTTTTTCCAGCTTTCTGAGCTTTATAATAAAGATCTCTCTCAATGCAGCTGGATGTGCCTGACCTCAGCCATTCAGTGCTGGGACAAAGGGCAGGTAGCATCAAACGTGTAAATACCATCCTCCAACAGCTTTTACTTGTCACTGAAACTTGAACTTGTCTTGAAAACAAGATGGTTACTGCTTGCTTAAGGCAGAGTATGGAGAGGTGTTTGTATTTTTTGCTTCATCTGTTCCGTGGAACAATTAACCCTCATTGTAGCTGTGAAACACTTATTTTCGGTCCGTTTCAGATTTTCAAAGAACACTGAAAAGCACTCAGCACATCCCGAATTGCACCCTGAGGTATGTCTGTTTGCAGACTCGCCCTCTAGCCAGGAGTCTGCTCAGCAGTTTACTGAAGCAGGAGAATCTGCTCAGCCAGCTCTCCCTGCCCATCTGCTCCAGGCCGGACAGGCTGGTCAGCAGGAGCTCAACGGAGCCCTCGGAGGGAGGGAGCCCGGCCTGGAGCGGTGCTGGAGCCCAGAGACGCTGTGCTGGAGTCAGCAACACATTCCAGTGCCCTTCTCCCTGCCTGGAATTGCCAAGTTACAGTTACCAGAGAAGATAGCAAACTGAAAATGTGACGTGTAGGAGTCGTGGGGAAAGAAGAGCATGTGAAGATAGCTGGAATTTAGTTTGCAGAGAGAACTAATTTGAAATAGATAGATGATCTGGAAGCATGTCTCTTAAAAGTCTCTCTAGCTTGCCATCTACTGACTCAAAAAGCGTATTATTATTGGTAGAAAAGCAAGACAAAAAGACCTCATAAGGAGTCTGGTTGCTTCTGGAGGTGATGAAAGGCTATTAAGCGTGGAAGAGTTTTTGACTAGCTCATAGAATAAATAGTGCCAGAGGAGTAATGTTTCCTTATTCTCCTCCGCTCGGCTTCCAGGATCTCTTCAGAGAAAAATCTGGTCCTATGAAAGAACATCCCCTTCCGTGTTCACTTCTCAGAAGCAATTTGGTAGAGTGTTAATATATCTTGGTGGGGTATATAGCCTTTGTGATAAGAAGTGAAGTCCTTCAGGGAAAAGCTTGCTTTTCCTGAGTATTTTTAGTATGACTGCATTTAACTCTCTTGGGGTTTCTTCCTCGCCAGTCCTTAGCTGCTGGAGCAGACAGGCTCCTGCACAGTGTTCTTCTCTGGCTGCTTTTTGGTTTAACCAATTCCACATCCTAAATGCAGTGGTTTGAGGTAGAAACAAACAACTATTAAGCACTTGCTGCCAAAGCTATTGGTCCTGTAAACCTGCTTCATTTCTTCTTAACTAGGAAAATAGAAAAATTTGCTGTTGCCTTTCCCCTGGCATGTTCAAATCCCTACGGGATGCAACATTTTAATTATTCCCTGTAACACCCCTGAGGTTTAAGCAGCCACACGACTTTCAAGTCATCTTGCCTGTCCCTCTGCTGTTGCCAAACATGCTTTTAATCTCTAACAATGTCGGGATTCTCTGACAGACAATATGCAACATATTGCTAGGGAAGAAGGATCGACACATAGGAGAGAAGGAAAACATTTGAGTGTGTGTGTGTGTCAGTCTGCGGAAATTTACTGACTGGGTTTCCAGTTGCTTCAAAACGCTGCTGAAAAGCTGATGCAACAATATGTGCAGTAAAAGGAAAACAGGAATTTTCTGCAAGGACTAGAGTGTCTTGCTCTGCAATGAGCTTACACTTTCCTCTCTCCCATTACCAGCTCTGTTTTTCTGCTCTGCTCTTGCCTTTCCGAGCTTTTATTTGCAGTCCCTTCTGCCGCCAGCGCTGGTGTTTGTTTCCTAGTGCAGTACCAGAGGCTGCTCTTGCAGGATCTTGTAATGGTTGTGTGCTGTGAAAAGCAGTGGAAGGGCAGGGAGGGCAGTGTGGGTGATTTCAGCTGAATTGTGATTTCTCACGAGTCTTAAATCTTCAGTTTGTTACAACGTACTTGTCTTTTTTTATAAGTAACAACTTAGAGTTGTTGCCACCTGAAGTCTTGGTTCTTGTCATTCAGCATCTGGCACATTAAGGATCAAGGGCTGCACTGGAGATTTCAACAGATAATTACTTTTTGATAATTAAATATAGCACATTTGATTCCTAATGCACATGCAACATAAAATAGAGACTTCTTGAGCTGGTTTCACACAACATATTTGAGATGTTGGATTTCCCATCTTTGTCGTTTCAGGAACTCAGATTGCCAGGTGGCTGACAAACCGCACCAAGATAAGCTCTAACTGGCAGGGGAAAGTCGTTACATACGTGTGGGCACATCACAAAAAGTTGCTTTCCCCAGTGACATCTGCTTGTTGTTCAGGAATAAATGGTTCGGTGCCTGCCTCCCCATCTTGAAGCCCGCTTGCTTTCATCAGTAGTTTGACTTAATGTGCTGCATTGAACACTCACTGGAATTAACATGCTGTTTCTTCTGGTTTCAAGTTGTTCCTCTTTTTGCAGGTGAATTACAGAAAGCGACTCCCGGAGCACCTTGGCTGTATGAACTCTTGAGCTGTCAAGGGACTGAGAGGCTTATGAAGAGGTTCTGTCAGGCAAAACAGCGCTTAGCAAAGACCCCAAGGAGGAGGGAAAAGGAGAAAGGGAGGGAGAGAAGCTGAAACACTAACAAACCATGGTAGGTATTTGTCATCTTTTATGGGGTTGCATTACTGCTCTGCTGACAGTCTTGTGTGGGGCCCGATGAAACCAGAGTAAGGGGATTTTCTGACCTTGCACTGAATTAGGGACGGTTCTGCATGCTTTGAGCAGAGCAAATGAGGTCTGATATATTGTCAGCCTCTTAAAACCGGAGAGTTGTCTTGTGAGCCTGCATTACATGAATTATTAAATATGAAGGAAGGGGATGCTCATAAGGTTTTCTAATAAAACCGGCATTAGCAAGCTGTAGCAAACAGCGTCAGTGACCTTGAACTTGCAGATTGCGTCACCAAACGCTGATACTCCCCTTCCACCTCTTCCTCACAAAAGCGAGTGTTGATTATTCCTATTTGTGTGTGTGAAAAGCTGATTGATTGTGGTTCTAGGCACACTTTGTTAACAGCCTAGATGTGTGTAGACAAATATTCTCAGTGTGTACTGTTTAAGTGACGAGTCACTTCTGATTTTCCGGGTACTGGTTGCAAATTGGGAATGACAGAGATGTGAAACTTGTAAAGCTGTGCAAGTATGCATGATTGTGGTGGTGAGATTCTGAAGATGTGTTCACAAAAAGGTAATACACCTACCCAGGTTCTGAAAAATACCTGTGGAGAGCAATTTAAGCATATTTGTATTTTTTTTTAAGTCCTCTAAGGGTTATTACTGAGAGAATAGAAATGAGAATAAATGCAATAAATTTTAAATACAGTTCTCTAACATTTGTGTAGCTGATTGCTGCTGATAGGCTCTGTGTTTATGTTTTAAAACAAAAAGAAGACCTAAGACAAGACTTTTACCTGTTACAGAGCACAAAGGGAGGAGGAACACTCAATAAAGCAAAGTTGTCACTATATTGTATTTTAATGTCCCATTTTGCTATTATTTTTGGTCTAAATTGTAATGAAGAATTAATCTTGTAAGTCCCTCTTCATTAGAAAAGAAAATGAATGTCCTGTAATTTATGAGTTACTAATTTGTTCCTGTTTGGCTGTTTTCCCAAATTGATATTTCATGAGATAAGAGAAGGTGGGGCTGAGCTAGTAAATCCAGCTTGTCAGTTTTCACTGCTGAACTGGAGCTTCTTTCCGTATCCATGTTGTGGATGAGCCACAAGAGGGACCTCCTGGAAGCATTTTGCAGCCTATGAAAGTACTGGGGACGATACCAGACCCTGACTGATGGGTTTCTTGACCACCTTAATTGTCCATTCGGGTGGGAGTGCAAAATTTAGGAAAGGAATGATGTCACATCGACCTTTGGTGGAAGGGACCAAGTGAATGTAATGAATCAGGAAATCATGACCAGTTCCTTAAGGATTCCATCAAGAGGCCTTTGAGATCCTTCAAAGGCCCTTTCTGTCCCTTAGCCAGACAGACCATGCCCTCTTCTCGGAGAGAATCGTGGAGGGGAGGGCAGGAAGAAGTGAGGAAAAACAATGAAAACGAGAAAAAAGAAAATTAGGGGGAAGTTCTGAAAGGACAGGATGCAGAAACTCCATTTCTAGGCGCTGCAAACAGAGTAATGCATAGGAAAGGGCTTGGCCCTGTTTTGTATCCCCCATCGCTGTATGTGGGAGTAGGGAGATGCGCCTCGTCCTAGATCCAAGTTCTCCCTTGTTCTGATGTGTGTGAAGCACACACGGTGTCACAGCTCCCACTGAGGGTGGACACACCAGGCAAAAGATGGAATTCAGCTTGCTCAATTTTTAGATGTCAGGAGCAGCTGATGTGATATAGCAGTGTAGAATCCTACAGTCACATGTGGGCGGGTGGGGAAACGTACCTCTAAAGCACAATTTCTCTCTTCCTAAAGTAGACATAAACTCTGCTCCAGATGTGTAAACATAACCTGTGCTACAGATGTGCCTGTTCCTCCTAGTAGCCAATAAAATGATTTTGAAGACTTGAATTTAGGCCTCAAATATTAGAAGCCATAAAACCCACCCAATGTATTGTATGTTTTACCAGCTTAATGCTGATTTTTTTTGTTTTCCACTGGTATTTGGTTTCTTATTTTTTCTCTTTTTAAATTTCTTTAAGTAACGGTAAGAAATCACTCCTGTATGACTATAAACAATGGTCATCATAAAACGCTTTCCTACGTCTCAGGGAGGATTCCCATTCAGGCAAAGTCCTTCTGTTGATAATCCAATAACTTTGTTCTTTTTTTCCCCCCTGTTTCCCACTTCATAACAGAGATCTATCCGATCTTTTGCTAATGATGACCGCCATGTTATGGTGAAACATTCAACCATTTATCCATCTCCAGAGGAACTTGAAGCTGTCCAGAACATGGTATCAACAGTAGAATGTGCCCTTAAACATGTCTCTGACTGGATGGATGAAAAGAACAAGTCTACGAAATGCGAGGGTGATGTGGAAGCCAAGGAGGAAGCTGCAGAAAGCAATGCCAAGTGAGTGAATGAGCCTCATGCTGTGTTACTGCGTTGCTCTGAATGGGTTCCTTGCCTTCTAAATACGAGCCGCAGTGTTACTGGTGTCTGTTACGTACCAGTGTTCACAGGAGGAAGCAGATATATTTGGACTTCTGAGGTGGGAGCACATAGAGCGAGTGCAGGGAATAGTAATAAGCCCAATGTGGGCAGCAGCTGCTCTCTATTTATTTATTTTGCTGTGATGTTGTGAAGTCACATTTAGCAAAGTTCCTGTGATACAGCCGTTCTCCACCGAGCTTCCTGGGACTTCAGCTGGTGCATCTGTGGCAGAACCAGCACAGAGACGTAGCAAAGGGCTCTTCCATTTCCTTCCCAATGACACATGGAATATTAAGGAGGTCTGCTGCTACATGGGCTTTGCCCAGTAAGTTCTGATATTAAAACTGATAAAGTGATACTGATAAGAAACTGATAAGAATACACTTATTATTTCATCTATATTTGTTATGTTTTCTGACACCTTTTACGGCAGTGAAAGGTTTATTGTGAGACCTTTTTTAATTTTTGGTGTCCTGGTATACGATATGTATGTGAAGTTGTTTACATTTTGGGATGGTGGAAGTACAGTCTGCTCTTGCAGTACCAGATGGGAATGCCTTGGACTAAGACCCACTTCTGCACAAATGGACAATTAAGTTTTGTCATCTTCTCCAGGAAGGTATCTAAGCTCAGAGTTTTGCTGCAGAACAGCCTTTCCTGACAGGCAGGGTGCTGTGTGCTCCGGTGGGGACTTCTTGGCATTACTGGCAGCGTTCTTGGGTGTCTTCTGATTTGGGGAAACAGGAGCAGAATAGATTCTTCAGGAAAAAACATGTGCCTTCAGGATTTTCCATGCCTGTGCTCTGTTACAAAGTTAGAGTACTTTTTTTGTAAACATCAGTGTATTATTTATACATAAAAATAGTTTGCATATTTATGCCTTTGTTTGGGACAAATTATTTTACTCATCACCTTATAAGCTAAAAGGGGCACAGCGTTCTGTGTTTTCTCACATTTACATCCAGGTGCTGTTAAAGTAGCGTAGTTCAGGGTGAAAGTCAAGGTGGTGGTTACTTTTCTAACAGTTCTTGTTAGTTCGCTTCTGGCTGTTCCAAGGATGGTAACTAGTCTGGGACTGCTACTTCATTTTCTGTGTCATTCCTCCTTTTCATTTGTCTGTTATTTAAGCACTTATTCCTGCCTTTCCATTTAAAATATTCTAGATTAATTATTCTGGTCTTTTGGCAGATCTGTGGATAGTGAATTTGGGCTTTTTTGAGCCTTGTGACTCGAGGTGGGCAACTTCTGCTTTTGCTTGAATTGCACATCGGTGCTTCAATTAATTAATTTTTTCATAGGAGCTACCTGCATGAAAAGAGTGTATATGTTTCATTTCTGATCAGCGATATGCCACTTTAGCACAGTCATCAGTCCCATCCCTTTAACTCCTCACCGTGGTAGGATAATGCAAGTATTTTGAATGTGTGAAAATACCATTTTAATTACTCCAAACTCTTTCATTTCCAGGGACCAAGGTGGCCGGACGTTGTGTGGTGTTATGAGAATCGGCTTGGTTGCGAAGGGCTTGCTGATAAAGGACGATATGGATCTGGAGCTGGTTCTCATGTGCAAAGAAAAGCCCACAAAGACGTTGCTGTGTATAGTTAAAGACAATCTCCCAGCCCAAATTCAGGTGAGTTACCTCAGGGTACTCCTCTAACACTGGCTGATAGTGCTGCAGGGTCTATTCGGGTAAAGGCTGGAATTTGTTCCAGGAAGAAAGACAAGTGATATAAAGAAATGTAATCTGAATCTAGGACAGCATCTAGGGTGTGTGGCATGTTTAATGTGGTGACGTGAAGTAGCTATTCACAAAATTTCACATCTTATTCCTGTTGTTGCCTAATCCATATTTGAGATGTCACTTTTCCAATGATGGCAGCTCACCTTTCTGTTTGGTAACTAACCCAGCTGATTTTTGCTCTCTGCTCCACCCACTAATGTGAGCCAAAATGCAGTCCCAGAAACTGTCCCTGCGTGAGCGTGTGAGTCGCTCTGTGGTGGTGTCCCCTGTCCCCTGCCTGAACCTGCAGCTCCTCACTGCAGCTGCTTCGCTTGGGCTGTCCCGAGATGAACACCTCTGTACTTGTGAAGTGAGAGCAACTCACTTTAGGTGGTCACTCACTTGAGCTCATGTTATTCATGAGCACATAATTCTTTTTATTTATGGCTATTTAATTTGATGATGTTATCCAGTAGGCAGCACTTACAGCTAATACTGGTCACTGAAGCAGCTGGGGATAATACCTTTCTGTCTGAGTTCTGAGTCTGAAAAATCAGTCCAGCTCCCAGAGTGACATACACTGTTGCCCAGAAGCTGTGCCCTAAAGTATTCTGCTGCCAGTGCCTCTCTCCAAATTCTGTCCAAACTTGATCTGCTTTTCTGCCTTGTGTCTATTTCCACATACACAGTATGTGTTTTACCATTCTTGGCAGCTGTTTGTTCTCACTGTTTGTTTTTTCATGTAAAGGGCATGTTTTAATGAGATAATGAGCCTGCAGATGTGGCCTTATCCACAGCTGAAAATGCTAAGGATCTGTTGAGTAGTAAAGAGTAAATTTTACTTGTTTGAAAATGATAGGGAAGTATCGAGTAGTAAAGAGTAAATTTTACTTGCTTGTAGCGAGGCGTGAAATGAGGTTGAAAGTGATAAGAAAAGTTAGCATATGCTTCAAAAAGAGAGAGAACGGCAGAAGAGACTTAATTAAAAGATGTGAAGACTGCAATAAATTCAAGGGACAAGTAGGTAGGATCCTGTGGGGAAGCACTGTGAGGTAAGAGGAACCTGAGTCATGAATCCAGCTACAACTGTCTTGGGCATAAAAGACAGCGCAAGGTTCTGCAGAGGCATCAGGCACAGGAAGGAGAAGGAAGGTGTAGGCCCTTAGGACAAAGAGAGCAAACGAGGTACAGAGAGTTAACGCTGCTGCTTTGAGGGCTTGTAGGGAGCAGATCCTTAAATGTTTTTATCCCAACAAGAACAGAGCTGCAGGAGCACAGACTGCAACAGAAAGAAGTTAGAATAGGGAAAGAAGTTAGAGTATATGTTAGATACGGTCTAACCGAAGCAAAGTCACGAACACAAGGAACAGCTTTAGGACTCGGAACCAGCTGTGGTTGTCGTTGCACTTTTGGAGCCTGAGAGAGGTCCCAAAGGACTCATGAAATACCTGCAGATACCATCACTTGAGATAACTTGATACAATGCACGTTAATGGAACAAGGCAGTTATAGTATTATCTACAAAAGAAATCTAAGCAAGAAATAACAAGTTTATTGAAAGCAATTTAAAAAGCACTTGATCAAGTGTTGTGCTCTTGAGAGGAAGGTCAGGTTTTCCAGGCATTGTCAGGGATCTCTCCTGGGGCTGGTATTAATGATTGAAGTGGGTGACAGTGTTGTCCTGCGTCCAGTTTCAAGTGCTATGTGGAAAGGGAGATGGATGGACAAGATGGAGAAAATCAGATGAGTCAGAATGAGCACCTAGAAAACCACATAATTAAAAGTGTCTGGTTTGGAAAAAGTCAAGACCAAATGCAGGTGTTTTAAAACATTAAGGGTTATTTGTAAAGTAATAGTGATTCTGTATCACTATTAGGTGATATTAAGGTAGGTTGAGAAGTGACTGGAGCAGAAGCAAGGGGGACTTTTGTTGCAAAATAGGTCATTGAAATTACATGTGCGGCTAAGAATCAGAACAGACTATTTGGAGAGGTGATGAAATGTGTGGCCAGCGCTTCTGAAGAGTATCTCAGGGTTGGGAAGAGATGGCCGAGGTGTATTTGGTTGTACTTCATGGCAGTACATGGACTGGGCGAGCTGGTCTGGCTCCTGCGCTGGAACCTGTCATCCATGTGCCTGAGGGCTCTGGTGCATGGGAGAGCTTTCATGTTTAGAGGCAGCGTCACTGGAGAAGCGTGTGCTTATTAAGAACAGCAGTTGCTGGTGGTGTTTTGCACACTAGCAGCTATGAAAGTCAGCTTCTGCCTTTATTTAAAAAAAAAAAAAAAGATTTTTTAAAAAAGTGGTAATCTAGTGGAACTAAATGTTCTCATTAAACTTGCTGCAGCCCCTTTTTCTGAAGCATGTTACTGGAGTTCTGTTTGTTTTTAATGAGAGAGGCAAGGCCTTATTTGTTGCTGCAATATCTTGTGCGCTGCTCCTTAGTTGAGGCACATGCACATACAGAGATTCTGCAGTTTTTCAGCTGATTGAGAGATTCTTGAAATCTTTCTTGGTGACTTTCAGAAACTGACAGAAGAGAAGTATCTTGTGGAGGAGCATGTAAACGAGGCAGCTATTATTATTCGTAACACAAAGGAGCCCAAGCTAACTTTGAAGGTGATACTTACATCCCCTCTCATTCGAGATGAAGCAGAGAAGAAGGAAGGAGGTACCCAGAGCATTTTACCTTGTTTTTAACTGTTCTATCTAAATGCCCTGACTGTGCAGCACAGGGTTAATGGGGAAGTAGCTTTCTAATTGTGCGCCACATACTAAATAGATTGGCTATTGCCATGGTAAGTTACTTTATTTGTGCCTTAAAAAGACAACAGTCACTTAATTTTCATGTTAATATGCATATTTTCATTTGCAAGCAATATTTCTGCAGTGTTAACTTTGACATACAATTAGATCTTAGTTGTTTCTCTCAGACTTGCTAGTTAATTTCTGAGCACCCCAGTGCTGCACAGTCTTGTTTTCAAATTAAGTCAGTCAAGTGGGATTGGTTCGTAGTATCTTGAAAAACTCAAAATTGTCTCTCTTTTTACATTAAAAAACCCTCTCCTGCAAAGCTGCAAGTATGTTGTCCTGGCCCTCAATTTTTTATTAATTGATGATACGTACATGTATGTTTCTAGCTTTAAGAATATCCTAGCTGGGATGCAATTGAAGTTTCAGTACTATAACTGAGCACTTTTGATTCTGAATTGAACATTGTACCTCATGTCCTTAGAGCAAAATAGATATAGAAAACTGTAACTTAGTTTCTTTCTGTTCCTCCTCCCTAACTGCCTGACACCCGATGTAGCCCTGCACCCCTTGCTAGAGGAATGTTGACTGTAGTGTCAATGAGGTTGGAAACAAACCAAGAGAAATAGAGAAGAGCAAACGTAGCCATACTTTGTTCTATTTTAAAAATCTCATCAGTAATTTCTGCTTCCGCTTCCCAAACCTATCCCTAGAAACTTTGCCACTGGACGATGTCAGACCTTTGACCAACTGGCCACTCTCTGTCATGACACCTGAGGCAGCCGGGCCCGCCTGGGCCAGGGAACTCCCTCTCGCTCTCTTCCCATTTCTAGACTTGCCACCAGTCCTCCGCTTCCTCCCCTCTCCCACATGGAATTCCGACACAAGGAGAAATGTTGGTCAGTTTCTCTCCGGGTTTGTCCCAGGAGATGGCAGGAAGGATCCCTTTTCCAATGAGATCTAACTTTGGCAGCAGTTGGATGCAGAAAAATCTTACAAAACAGATGAATGGCAAAGATTCCCTAATTGCAATGTCTGTTTATTCTCAAATTAGCAACCATGCTCTTTTGCAATACCATTAAAAATAAATGGCAGTTGTTCTTCAACTTCCCAAAAGATGCTGAGATCAGCCCTGTAGTTGTTGCAGCTGATCCATGTTTGTGAGAAAGAGCACAAAGTGCAGAACAAATGTTAATGATAAAGGGTTTGTAAGATTCTCAGAAGTGGATACAGTTTTGTACAAAGGCTTCCGTCCAAGTATTTTCTTGCTGTTGTGGCAGTAAACTCTAGGGACTCCTAAATTGATCTCAAACTGAATGAGGATTTGGATTTTTATGCTTTCTTACATTTAAAAAGTTATATTTTGTTATCTTAAAATATTTTTTTTTTAATTCTGTACTAATTCTTTTGAAACTTAAAATGCTCTTACTACCTCTCTGAAGAGTGGTGTTACGCTGTCGTTTTGGTGCAGCTGATGAGGACAGTTAATAGGGTAATGGACCTTGTTTTAAAGCCCAGCTTCTCTGACATTGTTCACTTGTGATGAACCAGAGACATTTATCATACTCCTTTCCAAAGGTATGTGAAACATTATGCAGATGTCACTAAGTAAATTTAAAGGGAAGAAGTACTTTTTTCTGTACTATTTCCAACTGTATCAGTCACAGATTCAGACAAAAATACTCAGAGAAACTGTCTGATGAAAATACCTTGCTCTCCAAAGCACTGCCATATTTTTTCAGTACCCCCAAATAATGCCAACTAAATGTAAATAGACTTTCTGTGCAGTTAAAAAAAAAAAAGCAAAAGACCAAACACGTTTTGAGTTTATTCCATCCATTCTTTTGAATGAAGGAGCTCAAAACACTTGTCAACTTGCCCTTCATCTGGCTGTAAGATGTGCCGTGGGCGCCGGGCGCTGCCGCGGGTTCCCCCGGAGCCCCCCCCGGGGCAGCGGCGGCGCGAAACTGACCAAGGTTTCGGTGGATGGGAGCGGCACTAACCCCTCTCTAACCCCCGCGGGGCCCAACCGCCTCCCAGCGCTCCCCCGTGTCCTGTGGGAATGCTGTGTGTGCCTTCATGCCCTGGTGTCAGAATGTATCCAAAAACATTCCCGGATTTCTCTTCAGTCCCCGCCTCTCTGGAAGAGTGTTCATGTTTAAGATGTGGTGTTTGTCCTATTTGTTTTTGCTGCTTGGTAGCAAAAATAAATAGTGGCCCAGTGTGTGTGTGCATCTCGGTGTTTCTCACAAATGGCTATCCATAAAGCTCTGCTTTCTCATGTCGACTTGAGAAGTCAAGCACCTAAAATTCCCACATTTTGCATCAGTTTTAAATTTAAAACTTAAGAAACTGAGTTTTTTTAATCATTGCATAAAATATAAATTGGGCTTTCCAGACCAGAACCTTGTAGTTTGCAAATCAGTTGTTGCTACCGAGCGTGCAGTAACAATGCGCTTACGTAATAATTAAGTTAATTTACCAAAGTGGGGCTGAAATGGACCTTGCTCCTTGAGAACCATCTGCCTCTGCTGCTGCCTTGGCTGCGCAGACGCGGCCAGTGATGCTGCGAAGGGGCAAGGAGCCCCAGCTGTGCCCTGCCTCCGTGGAGAAGACAACGCTCCTCGCGTGGCTGGCTGTAACTGAGTGATGATGGCAGCTCCTGTGTGAAGAGAACACATACAGCAAGTGGGAGAGAATCACTGAAGGATGGGTGCTGTGTTGCATAGTGTGAGCTAACGTCAGGGCTTTGTTCTTAATTGTTTATTAGACTCCCTGCATCATTGCCCTTCTTAAAACCACCAGAAAAGAAGTAAAGCTTTGCAATCGCATTTTGAAAATTTGGATTGGGTCTCACTTTCCTGACTGGCAGAGCATGAAGAAACATGCCATTCTCCCGAGGGTGTCGAAAGGGAGCCTGCTAAAGCCGCTCGCCCCCTTCACTGCCTGTTCTCTTCATCTTTCTGTTTAATAGAATCTTGCACCCAAAAGCTGGCTGACTGCAACATCTGGGACAGTGCTCAGGGCACTACTGCCAAACTCGTCATTGGCAAAATTCTCTGCAATATATGTAATTTAGACCTTTGGAAATAGACTCTTACTTTTTCCTACAGGATTAAGGGTAACTTGTTGGAAACAAATTAAATGTTATGAGAATAGAAAAGCCTTTTCATTCACGGGACCAAAGATGACAACTATTCTGTTTGTTTTGTAGTTTAAAGAAAAAAATTACTTCGTCAATGGCTGCAACAGACTCCAGCAAAGCCTTGTACAATCCTAAGAACAATTCCCTAAGCATTTAAAGACCCAGTTCATTGCAAGAAATTAAATGATTTTGCAATCAGTCACCTTTGCCATTTCTAATGTTTTAAAATAAGATTCTGATCATTCATTGACAGTAGTTGTTTTATACAGTACATGAGCTTTAAGCAGATGTTTATATTGTCCACAATAAAGTTGCAGAACTACATAGATGTACATGTCCTGTGTGCCACAAAACATCACTCCTGAGAATAATCAAACTGCAAAGGAAATTTAGAAGCAAATCTTGTGTTTCAAAGTGACCTTTTGTGCTCACAGAAATCTAGTGCCTTGAGGCTTTGGAGCTTTTATTTGGAAAACAGGTGAGAGGAGTGATTAATCCAATATTGCAATACTGTTGATGAGGGCAATAAGAGACAATGCAAATATCTGCTGTGAAGTTCATTGGGGTTAGAAAATAAGCTTATAGCACTTACATCTTCTGCTGCCAGCAGAGCCAGCGGGTGCCAGCTGCACCTACGAACCCTCAGACAAGGTACCTGGTTCTGTTCAGTTTTACACTGTTGGTTTTTTTTTTTTGGCTTTGGGCTCTTTTATCCATCATAACATAATGTGCTTTTACCAGAGTAACCTTCCCATTGAATGGAACAGGAGATGAAGCAGCTTTAACACCAAAGTTGCAATTGCACGTGCAACTGATACATTCCAAAGTAACCCATGAAAACGTACTTTGAGATGTTACTAATAAATTGTAGTACAAATTGGTGGTACTTTTTTTCTCCAAACTTGTCCTCCTATTTTACAAATCTTGCTGGATTTTGCTTATCTACCAGAGTCTACAATTTGGATATTGTATTTCACTCAGACCTGCAATAGGTCTCAAGACCTGGAGAATTGACCATTATGATTAATGACAAGACTGTATTTCCAAAGTATTTATTTTGAAATAAAAAGTAATTGTGTATTCATAGGAAAAAAACATATTCAAGGTTTTAATTGAGCCATGGATTCATTTAGTTCTTCCAATACGTTCTTCTCATGTCAGCTAAAAACTCCATTTTTAACCGGACTTCACAGATCTGCGAAGTCTGTCACTTTTGCAGAGTTTCCAGAGCAGCTGGATGCTGATAACTCCTCAGGTAAACACCAAAAAACCCCAGAACGTTTAGGGAAGAAAGGACTGATGCATAATGTACCTCACTATAGAATCGATTATGACTGCTAAAAGCAGTCCACATTGGATAAAAAAGAGAAAGGGGGGAAAAAAGAAAAAAGTGTAAACCTGCACAGAAGATACCAGTGTCTTGTCTCTCAAATCCTTCTTCAGCTGCTGTTGAGAAGATTTTTACACGAGGGGACCACCTCTCTAATATGTTAATAATCTGGAAGTTACCAAACTTAGTTCTTTCATATGTTCTGGTTATATGAAAGACTAATCAAACTTTTAAAATGTTCGTGTAATAATATTTCAAAAATATTTAATGTTTTTCTTTATTTATTTTATTTTTTATATCCCAGCAAGAATCAAAAGAAACTTGTCTCTTTGAAATTCTGTCCCACTTTTGTGGAATAAAAAAGAAGAGGGAAAAAAAAAAGCCCAATACAACCCAAGCAAAAAAAAAAAAAGGAAAAGTGCTATATAGCTATTTTCTGCCCTGAAATGTGTTCTACATTTTTAATAAGATCCCAGATCGTCTGTAGCAGTGGCCATCTTTATTATTACTATTATTTTACAAGGAGTGAATGCCTTTGCTTCTGTTGCACATGTGCACATTTACTACATTTAATGGCTTGTTTAAATTAAATAACATGGTGCACTTAAATTCTGGGAGTCTTATTATCTCATTGAGATGCTGCCGCTCTTTTTGTATTGTGACAGAAACCCCTTGGTCAAATTGTATCTGTCTCTTTTTATCCCATTTTTACCAGTAGATAATGTTGCGATGAAAGATCCTCCGGACTTATTGGACAGGCAGAAATGCCTGGAGGCCTTGGCGTCTCTGCGGCACGCCAAATGGTTTCAGGTTGGCTATTTGTTCTTACCTTGTTGTTATTGTAGCCTTACGAGGTTTTAATTTGAGACAGTTTTAATTTTAATGCCTCTTTAATTTCTGATTAGCCCCTAATAGAGCGAAGGTGTAGAACTCCGCATTCAGTGCTGTACTGTAGCAGGGCAAGCGTGGCAGGTAGACAGCCAACTGGTCTAGAGTTGTCATGAGGCTACAAAAGCAATCTTGACATTTTACTTCCTCTTTTATATGTCTCTCTAAATTGAAGTATTTTACTTTTATATACCTGTTTTTATTTTGCATGAAGCTGATTAAGTATTAAGTAATAATAACACACAAAAAAATCTATCCCAGGACTCTGTGCATTTAAAAAGAAAAGCAAAATTGAAGGCCAGGTTTTTGCAGGTGTACTGGAATCATTTTGTTTGTTTTAGGCCAGGGCAAATGGACTAAAATCATGTGTAATTGTCCTTCGTATTCTGCGGGATTTGTGCAACAGAGTCCCCACATGGGCACCACTGAAAGGATGGGTAAGTACAGAAGGAGCTGAAGGGCACAGGGTCAGCTCTCACATCTCCCGAGAGTTGTAGCAGGGTCTGGATTGGAGAAAGCAGTGCACTGTGTGAACTCCTCCCTAACCCTTGCCTTTTACTCCCCACTAACTCTCACCTGTGCAGAAAAGTGCTCGTAGGAAGGGAAAAGAAGGTGACTATTTGTTTAGTCTGTAAGAGGTACAGATACCATGGGAAGAGGCATAATGCTGGGGGCTTTGCACGTCCTCATGGGCTTGCAATAGAATCCCACTTGTTTCCTCCGAGTTTGGCCTTTCAAAAACACCCTGCTGCCATGACACTGCTGCTCCTGCCAGAGGATTCCGTTTCACGTCAGTTTGGAGAGGGCCAAATGTTCTGCACATCCAGAGAGGAACACTTTGTAGGTCAGGGGAGGCAGTGTGTTCTCCAGTGTAGAACCGATAACCTTTGAGAGGAGGGAAATACTCACATGACTTGGCTTTAGAAGGCTCCTCCTTTTAGATTTCCCAGGCAGTTAATGGAGAGCAGTTGCTTTCCTCAAAAGGTGACTCAGCGCAGGGAACAAATCCGTGTGCCATGAGCTGTCCTCGGGATGGCTCCGGCAGTTAGACCTGTAGTGCGTTACAGACAAAGTAAGCGGATGAGGGTATTCTTCCCCTCTGCCCCTCCATATTTAACTGCAGTTACAGTTACCCGTGTGCCCATACTAATCGTAATTTAATGTCTTCTAGCCACTCGAGCTTATATGTGAAAAATCTATAGGTACTTGCAATAGACCTTTGGGCGCTGGGGAAGCGTTGCGACGAGTGATGGAGTGTTTGGCATCTGGAATTCTGCTTCCCGGTAAGGGGCCACGTTAACTTCAGCAACACAAAAGGTTGATCAGGCAGGTTTAATGCTTTGCTGTTGCTGTATGATTAGATGAAAAATGCCTGTCTTGAACTTCTAACCTGCAGTAGGGCTAAATGATTGGTTTCTTGTTTATAATTAAAAAAATAAATAAGGAAGTTGCATGGTTGTAACTGTTTGAGTACTTCCCATGCGGTAGAACTTACTGGGGAATAATAGGTTTGTTTAGAAATTAACCCAAATCTCATTAAGGGGTTGCAAACAATTAATAGACTTATTGACCATCTGTTTTCTATAGATTCCTTGAAATCTACAGATCTATCCAAATAATTTGGGTTTTTTAAACCTACTGCTTTTAGTTCATGCAGTGTTAACCCCGGTGAGTTCTGTGGCCATTGCTGTGGGGAGCAGAGCCTGGGGTTCCCTTGCTTTGTACGGTGTCTGCATCCCATCCGCTCCCGCTGGGCCGAAGGCTGAGCCTCCCTTCGCAAGCGCCGTCAGTCCCCAGTTTCATATCACTTCACGTTTACTCTCAATAATCCACTTTGCCTCTTTCCCTGCCAGGAGGCCCTGGTCTGCACGACCCCTGCGAGCGGGAGCCAACAGACGCTTTGTCTTATATGACAGTTCAGCAAAAAGAAGCCATTACGCACAGTGCTCAGGTAGAAAACTCCTACTTCTGAGGAGCCAGATACTGTAACAGTGCAGAGTACGGCTCATTAATACAATTTATTCTCTGCTAGGATAGCTTATTGTAACAGCAATCCTGATAGTTCTTCCGGTGCACTACCCTGGAAAGATTTAACAATAGCTCCTGGGTGCAAGAGTTAAACGTATGAAATCTAATCCTTAGAAAGTGCAGTCTGATGTCTGTGTGCCACGTGCACCCCAGCTTACGGCATGGTGCCCTCGGGCAGGCTCCGTGTCTAAGTGCCCTGCACTTTGTATTACAGAAATTAATTGAAATTTGTAGACATACGCGTTTTCTATAGCTGTGATAGAAGATAGCTGTAGGAGCTGTCTTCTCATGTAAGTGCTTTTGTGTCTACAAACGTATTTAGAAACTTTGGAGAGCCGTGGTAAAGCAGTGCTGAGATGTAACTCCCGTTTCTGCTGTCACCTTGCAGCATGCCCTCAGATTATCAGCCTTTGGTCAGATCTATAAGGTTTTGGAAATGGATCCCCTCCCATCAAATAAGTCATTTCAGAAATACTCCTGGTCAGTAAGTGACAAAGAAGGTAGGTATTGGTTGCTCAAAAAATCACTGATTGGGCAGTAAACAGGGTTAATTTAGAATGGGTGAAATTCCTGAGTTATGCTGTGAATGCAAGGTGAAGGCTGGGGTTTGTGTTAAATGTGTTTTTTTAAAAAAATACTTCATTGTTGGGAGAAAATGTGGAAGTTCTGTTCTCTAGAACAGAGCTGAGCAGCAGTACAGCTGGAATATATATAGCTGATGGTTTCCTTTAAGCACAGAGTCCTTTGGGGTCTGAAGAGTAAAAGTAGTGTTTATGATTGTTAAGCTGGGGAAGGAGAGACTGTAGACTGGTCAAAAGGCACCTAATGAGTGTCTATAATAAGAATTACTCAAGAATTCTTCCTAGAAAAAATATACATCTAACAAAAATAAATTTCCATGTATATTTCTTGTAAAAACAATACTATTAGACTAACTGTAAAAACCAACACTGCAGAATTCCAGTACTTCTATCACCCACCATACTGGGAGCAGACGTGTGTGGGGTGGTACGGGGAGGGACAAGCCAGTATTGGCTCATGTGGAGCAGTAAGAGACCTGTGACTGACGGCTGAGTTCTTTTCATTATAAACACACAAAGAACAATATGGGACTAATCAGACCCCTGCTATGGAATTTTGTTTTTCTAATAGCATATCCATATTACAAGGAAATTTATACCCTAGGTACAGGCTCATCTGCTCTTAAGAGACCATTTGAAGACAGTGTCGGGGATGATAAAGATCCAAATAAAAAGATGAAGCGTAATCTGAGAAAAAGTAAGTGCATCACTTCTGGCTCTTTTCAAAGCTCTGTTATGCGGTGGGAGCTGGTTTCAAAGCTGCTCTGTGTTGGTGTGGAATAGCATGTGAAAACGTCTTTGGAACAAAAAAATGTTGTCTCTATCACCCCACATTTGGAATGTCAAACACATCTCTTATTGTGCATCTGAACTTCCCCTGACATGTTTTACTAACTGAATGATTTGCATTTTAAAATCAGATTATCCATCAAGTTACAGTAAAATTTAAGTTGCCCAAGCAGCTGAGGTATTTTATTGATAATCTCCCTGTAATGTGGGTTTATTTCTTTTTCAAAATAGTGCAGTCACTTTGCTGTGTGAAGATTTGCCTTTTGGCATTTTTCTCTTCTAGAGCTAGTTGTTGGTCTCTCAAGGCCTCCCACAAGAAAAGTAAAATGCTTAATCTACAAAACATAGACATTGCAAATGCACAGAGACTGGTTGTCTCTCAGCACTGCTGGGATCCAGTCAGTTCTGAGGCTGTTGTTTTCATTGTGCTACTTGGGTGCCAGTTCTGGATCTGGTTCCTCACTATCTATCGAACTTGTTAATCCCTTTATAGCAGCCAGAAAGCATATAGCAAGTTGCAAAAGAGTTAACAATATTAAAAAGTGGGTAATTATAGTTGTTACCCAAAAGCAGAGTGGCTTATTAAAGACTTAACAGCGTGAGGGCTCTCCTTGACCCCTGAGAGGCTGAGGGGTTGTTTTGCTCCTTTGTACAGACAGAAGGCACTGAAATGCAAACTGTTTCATTTTTCTGTTCATCTTGTTTTGTTCATCTCCCCTCTTTTTTTTTTTTCTTTTTTTCCCCCCTCCTTCCCTACCCCCTTTCTACTATCTTGTACTAGTACTAGATAGTAAAGCAATAGATCTCATGAATGCTCTGATGAGGCTGAACCAAATCAGGCCAGGGCTTCAGTATAAGCTGCTGTCACAGTCTGGTCCAGTCCATGCCCCAGTCTTCACAATGTCTGTAGATGTTGATGGTACGACATATGAAGCATCAGGACCTTCTAAGAAAACAGCCAAGCTCCATGTGGCAGTGAAGGTAAGGCAGCCTGAAGTAATTGCTAACCCCAGATCTTGGAACACAGAGTATGAAATATGGTTAGAACTAGTAATATGCAAACTCAAATTTAAAAAAAAAAATCTGGATGAAGCTGATTTTCCTACAGACTCGAGCCACTGCTGGGCATGGTTCAGAGAGCACCCCCGGTTTTACACTAGTGGAGGGGAGGGGGAACTTCCCAGGGCTCTGCAGGTCAGCTCCAGTGCCAATGGATTGAATGTGGTGCTTAAGTTCTGGACTGGAGGGGTTCAGTTCTGGTCTACTCCTTCCTCCTTTTGGTTTGAAAACAGCATGTTGGTGGCTCCCTCTTTCTCCCCTTCCTTCGCTGTGTCCATTCCTGGGTTGTGAGCTTCTGGAAACAGAGTTGTTTCCCACCTTCAGTGTCTGAAGAGTATCTTTGCGCACTGGGATGTGCAAGGTACATAAATGATTGCTCTCAGTCTGTTTTTCAGTAAGGGATTAGTATCATTCAGGTACTGGGCAGCTGCCTCCCGCTGCTGCTGGCTTTGTGTGTGCTCTACAGAGCCCCGTTCTGTAAAGCAGTGATAGACTGAACATCCCCCGTGAACGTCCTTGCATCGCATGGGGACGGTTCGGACTGCGAAAGCAGAACCCAGCCTGCTGGGTTTCTGGGAAGAAATGAAAGTTTCCTACAGACAATTCATGTAAAAGAGAACCTCTTTTAATAGAACTGCGCTTGTGATAGGAACAGGCCCATCTGTCATTCTCTGCTTCACTTTGTTTTGAACAAGAATTTCCTTTTTAGAAGCTTCATCTGGCAACTTTCTGCTTTCCTTTGATTTCGGTTTTGAAAATCCCATTGTCCCATGCCCTTTCAAGTTCAAAGTGTCCAGAAGTATCTGGGAATGTGCTGTTCCTCCAGGAAAAGTAGCTCTCTGCATGTGTGTCCTTCCAAACCTTCTGCCTCATTCTTTTATTTTACCTCTATCTCTGCAGTTGTTTAAAAAAAAAAAACAAAAACAAAACTTGCCCTGAAAAACTGTGACTTCTCTGCCCTTGGACCCCTCTGCATCGGCCAGATCTGTGCTGGCGCCTCCCCAGCTCTGTTTTCTCTAAATTTACGCACACACAAATCCTGGGCCAAAACATCCCTGATTCCAGCCAAGAGGAAAGGGGTGGTGTGGTAGACACTAGCTTTTCTTTTTTTCCCCCTCTTTTTTTTTCCTTTCTTTTCCTAAGCAGATCTGGGCCCTGCTTTTCTGCACTTATAAAAGGGAATAATATGCCCATTTCAGTTTCTGGATCTGACATTTTAAAATCTAGAAGCTCTGAAAATGGAGCCAAATGGACCACGATTGTAGAGGAGCTGAGTTCTCAGTTCAGTGTTGGAACATACTGATTTTTGCAAACTTTGTTCTTGGGACTAAATTTTCAGGGGAGCTTCAGGTTCCTTTTCAGATTCTTCTGGGCCTGTCTGGTAGCCCTGTAGAGCTAGGCTGGTTAAAGGAGAGGTGGGCCTTCCTTGCTAGGGAAGGATGTTTTTGAAGGAACTGATGAACACCTTAATCAGTAAAATGTCCTTTGCTGTAGAGCTGCTGGTTGTAAGAGCCTGGAGAAGGGCTGGGGGCTGTGGTGTGGTTCGTTAGCAGGCAGGCTCACTGCAGACAGACAGACTGTTCTCTGCTCCCTGGGCGTTCCTTCACCTCACCTCTTGGTTCAGAGACTTGCTCCCTGAAGCTCTGGAAGCACCTACCCTCTGGTGGGGACGGTGGGACCAGCCCTCCAGCTTCAGGGCTACCTTTCGGGTACTGCTTAGGCACCCACTGCCTGTTGCCTGTGGTTTCTTAGGAAATTCCAGAAATGCCATCTTGGAGAACAATGCTTTGATTCTCACAAGACTGTTTGTCTTGTTTGCCTCACGCTCGATCTCTCGATCTGTCCATATCCACGGGGGAGGGAATGGTGTGCACAACAACCTTCTTACCGTGCTGTTACACGGTGTCACACAGTGGGTGCGATTCTGAATCTTGATCTATTATTGCACAAGGAATTCTCCAGATGATGGATGATGCTCATGAGTAATTGCTGTCTTTCAGACTAAAATTCTGTTTGTGTTGATTCCACTTCTGGAAATCTGGGACTGTTTTCCCCATTGCTATTGTGTTTTTCTCCATTTCAACACAGGAGAAAACTTATTTCTAAGCAACCTGCCTTAAGTGTACAGTGGACATTCTTTTGTTGTGATCAGCTTTGTATTCGTTTCTGTACTGTTACCCATTTTACAGTTCAGTTCATGTGGCTTTGTTGTAGGTTTTGCAAGCGATGGGGTATCCAACTGGTTTTGATGCAGATGTGGAGTGTATGAGTTCTGATGAAAAATCAGATACTGAAGGTAAAAATGAAACAATATCTTCAATCTCAAGCAATAATACTGGAAATTCCACAGCTGACACCTCCGCTACCCTAGAGGTGAGTATTGCATTAAAAAGTACAAGTGATGGAGAGGTGTGGGCTTTGGGCATTTGGGTTTTGTGTTTTTTTTTTCTCTTCTCCCAAAAGAGGATGGTGGTCTAGTGTACATGGGTGGTGGATGAGGAACAAAGAGATGGTTTTCAGTCTCAGATCTGCCATAGACTTTGTGCAGCAAATAACTGATCATTGTCGCTCCTTTCCTCAAGTTTAAGGTGGGGTGCCCATCTTGTCCTCAGAAGACCATAAACCCTTTGAGAGAGGTGTTGTCTCGTAGCTTATGTATGGTCTTATGGTTGGGGCAGCTGCCTGATAGCTCTGGGGTGAGCTCCCTGGGGGCTGTACTGACAGACCATTGTGAAGTCACACCATAAATGTCTCTCTAGGTAAGAACTCAGGGTCCCATACTCACAGCAAGTGGCAAAAACCCGGTGATGGAGCTCAATGAAAAGAGACGAGGTCTGAAGTACGAGCTCATCTCCGAGACGGGAGGGAGCCACGACAAGCGCTTTGTGATGGAGGTGAGTGAGGCAGGTATGGAGTTGGTGGGGGTTTTACTTACTCTGCTTCACACCTGGGTGGTGTTTGCTGCTACAGTTCAGATTTCGTGCATTTTGATTTTTGCAACACACATCTGTGGTGGTGGTATTTCCAGGTTTTTGCACCTCGTATTGCTGCTGTGATGATTATACTGGGGAAAGGGATGTATTTGATGCTTTAGGAAAACACAAGGAGAATTAAAACTGGATTCTGACAGCTCCAAACTACATCATGTCTTGAAATGAGGAGGAGGAAGGAAATTGAGTATCTGCAGCTTGACAAAAATACCTGATTTGCAAATTTTGCAAACGTACGTGGTAACCCCACGTCAGTGACCTGATTTGAATCTCCTATTGCCAGCCTGTCAGGGGTGTCTGGAATGACTTCAGCAGAGTATAATCATTTGATTTCTCCTCTTCGTGGTCTTCCCAAGGATGAGTACCAGGCATAACCTCATGTCTCAATTTCCAGGTAGAAGTAGACGGGCAGAAGTTCAGAGGTGCAGGCCCAAATAAGAAAGTAGCAAAAGCAAGCGCTGCATTAGCAGCACTTGAGAAACTGTTCTCTGGGCCTAATGCAGCAAACAACAAGAAAAAGAAGATTCTTCCTCAGGTAAGAATTGTTATTTGCTTTTTGGACCACTCTGTTATCACAGCTCTGGGCAGACTTAGGGGACGAGTCATAGCCAGGTAAAGCCTTAACTCTTCTAGATTCTGGAGTAAACTGACATTTTTGCACCTTTTTTTTCACTTTTTCAATTTTTCAGATGAGCCATTTTGGTGAGGAAGAGTCATATAACAAAAAGCTCAGTCTTGTCCATTACGTTTAACAACCACAATGATCTGTTATATCTATTAAAATTGAGGTTGAACAGAACAGAAACTAAACAGTGTTCTTCCTCCAGAGGGCTGAACTAAATCCTGAGGATTACAGTTTGTGTCCCTTGTGCAAATACGTCAGAATTAGGATTTTCTTGTCTTTTCACACTGGAGCAGAATGTATCATAACATACACTTACAAAAGATGTCAACTCTTTTTTTTTTTTTTTTTCCCCGTTTGTTTTGTTCTGTAACTAAGTCCTCTCCATTGCACTGAGACCTTTGTTAGGAGTCCTGAAAGTCTAGAAACTGAGAAAAACCCTACTGCACAGAGTAATGTTCTATATGCAGTTAAGACATGAAAATGACCTCTGACTCAGGCAATTCCTAAATTCTGATTTTTCCTTCTTTATTGTTGTTCATGCGTTCTTTTTGCAGCAGTTAAACAGTGGCAATAACTGTCAAACTTGTCTTTGAAATACCTGGATTTTACTGTTTTGGGGGCAGCAGGGGCATCTAGCAGAGCGAAGCTGGGCTCTGAAGCAGGGAGCAACAGCAGCTTCTGTAACTCCTTGCCGCTCTTCTGCTTGTAGGGGGCAACGATAGGAAAGGGAAGGTGACATTCTAGTAAAGTTAGGTTAAAGCAGCCCTGTGTTGTCACTTTCTGACTTGCTATTTTTTCTATTGCTCTGGGCAGACTAAAGGGGTGGTCAATACAGCTGTTTCTGCAGCAGTCCAGGCTGTGCGAGGCAGAGGACGAGGCGCTTTAACACGAGGGGCGTTTGTTGGGGCAGCTGCTGCTACTGGATACATAACACCAGGTAAAGCATGACACTCAGAGTTTAAGTTTAAGCTCAGGTGTTCTTTTGCATGTCTGTCAGTCACCTGTGCAAGTGGTTTCTTCAGCTTTAATGATCTGAGATGAAGCAGAAGAGAGAATTCACAGGGCTTTAAATAAATCAAAGAGCTGAAAAACTGGCCGTGCCTGCCCTTGATGAGTGTACATCTTGAAGCCTGGAGTGCACAGAGCACACAGCTATGGACATAATGGCTTTCCTGGCTTTATTATTTTATTACATGTCATCTTCATAGCTCACTACCATGGCACAATTCCCAAAACTCTCTTCCTAGCTAAGAACCTCCTGGATCATGTGCCCGTTAGCATTTGGAGTGGCTTTCCCAGGAAACCCTTGTGGAGATAAAGTTGGCAGCTTAGGAGTCACTGTGCTTCCAGAAACCTTCCACGTGAATTGTGTGTGTGAGCACAGCATCCATTATTAGCTTCTGTGGTAGCAAAAAAAAAAAAAAAACCAGAAAGAATTTCCATTCATACTCTGGCTGCAAGAAAATTGTAACAAAACTTTCACTTTCTCATTCCCCTTTCTTGAAGTGCATTGTTTGGGACTCTACGACATGTCTGAAGCTTGCAGGTGACACGTGAAGGGAATCTAGACATTGTTTTTTCTTGGAATAAGAATCAGTTTGTAAGAAAGAGATGCTGGGGATTCCTTAGTCAAAGCAAATCCAATAGCTTCCAAAAAATAAAACTTTTATTCCTCATGCTTAGGTTTTCAGATTACAGCATGAGCTCTAATTGCAGCCTTCAGCAGTTCACACACGCTGGCAGCACAGCCCTGGTGGTTGGTTGACTTGCTTCCTGGCACAGCTGACAGCACGTCCTCTTCATTGTTCCTGTATGTTGATGTAATTATAAATATTAAAAACCAGTAATTCATTTTTAATGGCTGTTAACATTGTTTTTGGAACTGTCTTTCTGACTAAGGAGTCATTTATGAGACACTTTAACCTGCCAGGGGCATGCTTCTTGCCAGCATGGAATTACTCCAGAAATAGGTTCCATTTCCCAGTTGCTGTAGTTGTTAAGCTTTTATTGGCCTTGGCCTTCACAGATTATTTCTCTTCATCCCCTATCCTTCTCGGAAATCTCTTGCTTTTTGTGATGGATACAAGTGATCCCACCAGAAAAAACCCCTGTAAAGGCTTCATGTCCCAGTGAGATGCACTGCCTGAGCCTGGCGTCAGCACTGCTGCCGTCTGCCTCCCTCCCGAGTCACGCTTGGTGCTGGAGGAAAAGACGCTGCTCGGGGTTTGGCTCTGGGGGTTTGGATGTCCTTGTGAAACTGTCTCGTCTGTTAGAAATGGCAGAGGAAGCACAACTCACAGGAGCATTACTGATGTTGATGTGGTATCTGCTGCAGGCGTTTGGCATTCCCCTTTTTCTAATGGAAGCAGAGGAAAATGAGTGTTCTCCACATTAGCCTGTATTTGTATTTTAGGAAGCACACAAGCGAGTATGGGATGTCTGACTGGATTATGCCAACTCCGTGCCCTGACAGTACAGACTTGAGGGCTTCAGCTGAAAGAAACTGCTAAGGAAATGAAATAGGGAATTTAACTCTTTGATGCTGAGGCTTACGAAAATCATTGGGTAGCATGTTCTTCAAGCCACCATGTGGAAGGATTTTATTGTTTTCAGTAATATTTGTATGTATTAGCATGAGTTTGTTTTTTCTGTGGTCCTGCTTCATGTACCAGCACGGGTCCCTCCCTGTGTGTAGGTGTGCACTGTCTGCCTTCAGATACTGTTGGAAATAACCCCCATCCCTTATGTGTTTGTCTGGCAGGGTATGGAGCACCGTACGGGTACAGCGCAGCTGCGCCAGCTTACGGTATGTATAGCCCAATAATTAACAAATTAGAAATGATACAGAAACTGTTGTGGCAGTCCAAATGTGGCAGTCCAAGGAGAAATTCAAAGAGATTAAAGTTCTTAAACCATGACAACTACAACACTTCTATGCCATAACCTTGTGGTTCTTTTTTGGTTGGAGTAGCTTTTTTGCCTATGCTTTGCCTGATCTGTGGAAGGACTGCTTGTTCTAATTGCCTGTTCCCTTTCATACTGAAACTCAATTGAAGTAGTTTTCTTACTTTTTACAGCCAATCTGTGCTCCATTCAAAGACTACCGAAGGGCCTATTTCAGCACCTCTGACCAATATTTATCTAAATAGCATTACAGTAACATTGGCGAAATGTCTGTCCCAAGTGTAAGTGGCTTGTGGACAAAGCTCCCTTCATGCTGCCGACTCTATGAAGTCTGTGTGCACAGACACCCCCTCCCCGCCCCCCCAGCAGGCTAAACCAGTGCTGACTGGACGAGCAGAATGGTTTCTATGTAGCTTATACCTTTAGCAATCAGATTGCAAGGAAGGGAGGACACAGTGACCAAGAACCATAGCGGTATTAGGCTGGCAAAGCACTGGGTTCATGAAGACCGTAAAATAAACTAATAATCAGGGAGCTATGATGGAAGGCTTCTCCTTAACTCAGCTTCTCCCCACCCACTGGCTTGACGCAGACTAACAATGCACACCTCTAACCGGCCCTTTTGGTTACTTTGAATGAGGTTTATGTGGCAATGGGAGCAAAGCCCTTTGGAGTCAGTGATATGTCCCGGCACACAGAGAGCGAGCCCGCCAGAACTGGGCCCTCCTGCCCAGGGACTGGGTGACAGCCTGCTACTCGAACGACAAGTTGAGCACATTCAGGGCCTGCAGTTTTTCATTGGGAAACTAAATCTGCAATTTGCTATTAATTTTTTAGCTTTTGTAGCATTTGTAATACTCATTCCTCCCAAATTTGTATAGCTTGGGCAGTACCGACTCCCCTGATAGCATTATAAAAGTTTAAAATATTTTGAAATGTTGATTTCATTACTTCCTTGTAGAAGAATGAGGTATAAACAGTGACAAGTGTGGCTGCTTTACTGAAAACATTTGCTTTGCTCGACTAAGAGCCATTAGTTGGTCCTACCCTGTACTGCTGCAGTGGGAAGGGACTGGGCCCAGGGCGTGGAACCCCCCCTTTGGAGCTGCAGCAAAACCTCCCCGGCTGTGCAGCAGCAGCTGCCAGCACCGCTGTCCCACTGAGTGTCCTCTGGCTTGGCTCTTGTGTTCCATTACACAAGGAATAGCTACATGTTTTCTCACAGAAAAATGAAAGGAAATTTAGTTTAGGGCTTACTTCATCATATGAATTTTTAAAAAACCCCTTTGGTTCTTTCCCAGCAATAGTCAGGGGCTGTAACTGGGATGAGTGGTCTCTGCACGCGTGTCCCTGTACAGGCAGTGACACACAGTGACACAGGAGGAATCCTTTCCCTGCTGAAGAAAAGAATACAATTGTTACTAACTTTCCTTGCAGCTTTTCTTGCCTTTTTCATTCATTCCTTCTGTGTTTTTTCACATGATGCCTATTTTGGGAGCTGGATTTTAATTACGGAGCTGTGTATATGTGACATATCACTGACTTCAAAGCATTGTGGAATTGAATGCCCCCATTTTTCACATAAAGAGTTTCTGTTTTTAATGTCTTATGATTGTGATGCAAAGTACTGGGATAATGCTTTTTGGCTGTAAGGTAAACATGTCTCTTTGCCTTTGTAAGCTGTTGCATGTTGGGAAACTTCACTTTGATCATCTGGTGCTCTGGAATACCTGCTGTTGCTGCTTTGTGATTTCTAAATGGATACATAGGTTAAATACTAGAATTTAAATAGGCAAGATTAAAAAAACAAACAAACATTTAATTGTGCAGAAGTTTGTGAGGCCACAAGAACTCTATAATAATAATCATGAAATCAGGCAGATATTAATCTTTCCAGATTTGCCACTTCAATACAGGAGAGGAAATGCAGAATTTACTGTAGGTGCTGGATTTTTGGCTGACCTACCTGGATGCTTATCAGAACTGCTGACCAGTTTCCCTGTGAGCTCTCCTTCACACACAACGGTGCTGGTCTGGAGTATCTGCAGTTGTAACTGGCCTGTGAAATTAATTCAGAACATAGAATGAGATAGCAGAGATTAATTATCATAAAGATTACGAAGTGGAGCTTAAGTCCAAATACACACTCTGCTTTTGAATTTAATTTTACGAAACAGGACAAAAATAAAAGGAAACTTGAAGATAGCTGTTTGCAATAGTGCACAGTGTGGAAGTGTTACTGTTTGTGGGACTCTGCACCCTAAAATCCCATGGACTGACTGATCTGGAAAAGGTTAATGAGAACACTACTGTAAGCTCTTACTGACTTTCTTGGATCACTGAACTTATTTGGAGTCCTCTCCCTTTCTTCTCTCTGTAGGTTTACCCAAGAGAATGGTTCTGTTACCAGTTATGAAATTCCCAACTTATCCTGTTCCCCACTACTCATTCTTTTAGCAAATGGCAGAAGCTAATTCCTATTGATTGAACAACACAGTACAGTACAGAATGTTAGAAGAAAAAAAAGCCTTTTTATCCTGTTTTCTTTGAACACATACTTGAGCAAAGTCATTTGTAAAGAAACATCTTTTTCCTACTTTTTGATTTTAACAAAATGCAAATTTAGTTCTCTAAAACTTGAAAAAAATGTTCTGTGAAATGTTACCTCATTTTCAAATAACTTATACCAGCCTTCTGTTATAGGGAAGAACTAGAAGCTTAAATCTTACGTTTTAAATGAAGTATCCGATTATGTAAAATTAAATTTGTGAAGGATGTATAGAATATAAAACACTGATCACAAATAAACTGTTTTGTTGTAACACAGAGTACTGCCTGTTTCCTAATGCAGTCACACAGATTCAGTTAACGACCTGTACTTGTTGTAGGGTTATTAAATGCAGGGCATAGTTCTTTAAAAAATAGAAATTTAAAAATTAAAAAAAAAACAACCCACACAACAGAAACTTTACAGTTAATGTTTAACTTTGTAAATATTATGGTGTGTAATAAACTTAGTAAAATATGGGTTAATATATTGTTTTATCTTATTTTTTATAGTTAAGGATCAGTACCTGAGTTTCCTTATAATCTTTAGGATCAGCATACTGTAACTGTGATTTTAGACACAGTCTTAATTATCCAAGAAGGCTTTTCACTTCTACACAAAATACTGAAAAACAAACAAAACAAAGGGAATTAATCTCAGACTGTCTCTCTGTATTAGGTTACATTCTGTGAAACAAATATTAAACAAGAAGTTCCCACAGAAGCACTCTCCTTACGCAATTCCAGGGATACACAGTTAAGTCTGTATTGCCCAGAGAAAGGACGCCAATAATGTTACAATCAGGTTCTTTAGAGCACAAAAGCTGCATGTTTTCCTTTCTTTTCTGTTTTTACAAAAAACCAACCAAACAAAAAAAAAACAAAAAAGAAAAAAATAAATTGCACTTGTTCTTGTGGCCTTCTTCACTTTTAAGATTGTCTGCCCAGCTTTGATTTTTCCATCCACCATTTCTACAGAAAGCATTTTAGTTGTCAATCTTGTATTAAACCAAAGGGTTCTCCTTTTCCCCCTTACATTTATAAGAATCTAAAGCAGCAACAAGGTCCCCATGAAAACTTGCTATTTAATTGTCCCAGTTCTTGTTGAGTGCTGCTGTGACAAGTGACACACTTCAGCCATAGGCCAGTACTTCTCTAAGAGAATCCCCGTTGCCCTGGGGAGTGCGTGCCCCTGCCCAGCTCCCGGCCCCCTCTGCGCACTGGAGCCTCCTGCAGACAAACTGCTGTGGGCTCTGCGGAGGGACTGGAGCAGTCTTTATTAAGGTATCACCCTACAAAATCAGCAGCGTTGTTGGTTGCACTGCTCAGGCCTCACCCGTTGCTTTTCAGTAGGTTTGCTTTAGTTCATGCTCTTTTTTTAAAGATTTCCTCGATACACTCTGTTCTCCACCAGCCCCTGCTGCTGTGGCTGGAGCTTTGTATACGGAGAGGGTGTACGGACGGTGCTTAAAGCATGTAATGTTCCTCCTCCCCTACGCCCCCCGTTCCAGGGAAAGAAATATTAGAAAAGCTTCTTAAGGGGTGGCTTATGTGACAAGCTGCTTTTCTTGGAATTAACTGCAGCTGTTACTCTTAAGCGAAGTATTTGTGCTTAGGAATGTTTTTATATCTTCAATGGTTTTTCTTCTGCAGTAGCTCTCGCTTTTGTTTGGTGTTGGTGGTACTTTAATAAAAAAAAGTAGATCTATTGATAACTAGTGGGGAGCCTGCTGGTGTCATCCATGCGGTAGTTGAAATGAAGAGCAGGGTCCCGGGGCTGCAGTCAAATTGAGTGGTGCTCATAAATCACCGATACTTTTGCTGGCCTATGGATGAAAGGAAGCCATCACGGAGCAGAAAAAGCATGGCTGATAAAAGCCCATTTTTGTTAATCAAATATTCATTAAAGGAATCTTTCCTCTGCCCACTTTCCCCCTCCCCCCCATCTTTTGGAGTTCCCCTGATTGGCAACTGTTTGTAGTTTCTTTTTTTTCTTTTCTTTTTTTGAATCCCCAGCTTTGTGAAATTTCAAACAAAATATCCTCTGAACCAATTGTACACAATGAACATTCACAAGCCAAAGAACTTGTTCCTATTTCTAAAACAAGGAGGGCGCTATGCTCTTTTCCAACATGATGGCAGTCATTTCAGATGATTTATAGAAGTCATTTTTTATTTTTTGTCATTTGTTGGGAGTTACTAACCACATTGTAAACTTGCCCCCTTGCTGCATATTTTACATTTCTCTGCTTTACTGAAAATATGAATGAGCTGTCAGTTCTTTGTTTAGAAAGTGGTAACCTTGGAAGTGTTAGATGTTTCAATACCTTCAAAGAATTAAAAGTGCCCGTTTTACAATGAAAATTCCACTTGCAGCTGAAAGAGCAGAGAAATTTAAATGGAGCTTTAGCTTCAGCCAGTCTCTGAAATTAACATGAAGTTTTTGCTTCTCTGCTCTTTTCCCACTGTAGGTGGTTTTTTCATTGACAGTCCCTATTGCCAGCCTCTCAGCATCGCACCTTTTATTATTCACTTGGGCCCTCAAGATTTCTTCTCTGACTTCTAGAACCATCAGGTTGTGTGGCTCCAAATGGCATTTTGTACATGTCTTAAAAGCAAGAACAAACGTGGCTCGTTTTGAGGTTTCTCAACTTCAGACATGGAATCTGAGCTTTTTTCCTTTTTTTTTTTTTTAAAGTGTTTTTCTCACTTCTTGAACTCTGTTCCGTTTGATGAAAAGCAATACTTACTCCAAGCCACAGTCCTTTCTTTGGGTACATAGCAATAGATGTGAATATACTTGTGATTATTTCTTTACATTAGAAGGGAAAGACTGGTGTGTTGGGGGGGGGTGAAAACCAAACACCAGACCAAGAACCACCACCAAGCAGAGTGCCTGCTTTAAGCAGTGAATCCTGCCTGTACTTTCACTATTTAAATATTTCAGAATTTTAATACCATAACTGTATTTGCATGTTTCCTATAAAAATTGCTACAAAGACTTGCAATGGTCACTCTTGAAGCCGTAGTGCTCTGTACCATTGTGCATGTCAGCAGACATGAAATGTAGCAAAAGGCAGAAGAAAAAAATAGAATATATATTTTTTCCAAAAATCTAACTAAATGATATATTCTCTCTCTCTCTCTCTGTCTCTTCCCCACACCATTAATATGAGGCACAAAAAAGGGTAGGCCTGAACTTGACTTCCAAATGGAATTGCTTTTGTGTCTCTTAAAATCATCACCAAATGACAGGAAAACATAGTATTTGTTAGTTCAAAAAACTTTGCTGCTCTAAATCTACTAAGTTATTAAATATTTGTATGTTGATAACTTGAGATTGTGAATCAGCAATAACTGAAAGGTGAATGTTTTTTTAAATGGTATTGGAACATCTATATGTTGCAGCTTAAGACTTTTAAGCAGTTATCAGCAGGTTAATACCACTTTATTCTCATTCTCTCCGGAACTTCATAGCCATATGCACTTGTATAAAATAAGCAGAAATGTAGTGACTGTAAGCTGAGATCGTGATATAAAAGGTAAGAGATTTTATTTTCAGCTTAAAGAATATTTTTATTGCTTTTTTCTAAAAATCTCATATACCTGTGACAATCTTGTATATGGTACGTTTTTATTATGTCTTGTTTAACTAAATGTTTAAACAAGTAATACATAGGTCTGAATTCCAACTTTGTATTTTTCAAGGCCACTTCAAATACTCCCGTTTCAGTTTAAAAAAGAAATATGACTTAATACTTTTAAGAAATTGTTTGGTTTTATCAACAGACTGTTCTCCTTCAAATATTTTTCTCTCGTGTAGCATAAAAAGCTGTATTGATACTGCTGTGTGTCAGGCACCGCATTCCTTTCGTACCTGTGGAAAGCGCTTGGGCAGGTACCAAAGCCACGGCCATGGCCTGCGCTGAAGCCGTACCATGGTTATAGGTACGTGGAATAAAAATGAGAAGGGGAATGTTTGATATTATCTAACTAATACAGAGAGAAATTATTTCCCTAAACTATTGAAGCTAAACTCCAAATGAAGAATGAAAGACGTTACAGTTCAAATCTGCAGAGATCAAATTACGTGAGGCCAAATTAATTCCTGAAGCAGCCAGGCTTGCTTTCCTCTGGTGGGAGCAGTGGGAGGAGAGGAAGGCAGGCAGTGATTTAACTCTGCATGAATAATTTGCTTAGCTGTGGTTTTCTAAAGCTAGAAATTAGGATACAGCCATCCATAAATAATTCTTTTCAGTTCTGTAGTAAATGTTTTAACAAATATTTTACTTGGATTAAAATGGGTTTGGATTATGACCTATATGGTGCACATGATATGTGTAGTTTTAAAATACTAGGGTTTTTTTTTAATTTGCCTTTATATAACCTTGCGTTATGCAAAGTTGCATAGTACAGTACTGCACAACTGCAGTACTTGCAGTACTTGAAGTTGCTGGAAACAACTCTTTTTTATATAAAAATGGTAAAAAAAAATATTAAAAAAAATGGAGGGAGTTGATGACGTCATGTTAGCATTTTAGGGTCTCAATTCAGAGATGGAAGCATAAAAACCCCTGACTGGTCACAGTTTATACTGATGTAAAACAGGAAAACACTTGGTTTGGAATCTGTAGTAATGTATCAGGCCCAAAGCTTGTTGTTTTGCATCAAAATATAACAGCAAAAATAATCTGTATTTCATTTCAATATTGAAAACATCAAATTCAGTAAATAACTGCATGTGTAGATTATCCATAACTCAGGATATGTCTGGATAGAATTCATAGGCTGATACAGAAAAACAGCTGTTCCATATTGTCAGTTTTGCTACTGGTGGCAGAAACCTGATCTCGCCAGTGGCCTATATATTTGCACCTGGGGAAAGGAACTTAAGGAACGTTACCAGTGACTTGCCCACGAAAGCACATAACCATTTGATTACATTTGCAGGTGCAATTGATGAGCCACCAGAATGTCCTTCCCATTCGGGGGAGCAGGTTTTCATCTGCTGTTATCTTCAAGGTGCAAACCTGGGGCTTGGTCTGAAGCTCACTTAAAATTCAATTCCTTCTTTCAGCCTGTCAGGCTGAGCAGTGCTGATTGCGGAGCAGCAGGCTGCTCCCTTTGCTTCCAAAGACGGTATTTTATATGTATCAAGGCAATGTTGAGGTACATTATAATGAACTTCTCTCGAGTATTCCTTTCCTAGGCTTAACTGATGTCAGTCTGAGAAGCACTGTCCAGTTCAAGGACTGATTAATAAAATGACTTGCTGACTCTTATTTGATCTGTTTCTTTGTGGCCTGTACTTGGCAGCTTAATCCATTTGTATTAGTTTCCATCAGAACAGCTTTGACTGTGAATTTCCATATTTTTGTCATTACCCTTTTAACTCTTTACAAGCTGAAGCATTCCACTCTTTTGTTGTTTAAATTCTCACCTTGTTGGATCTTCTCTTTTTCACTGAAAAGATACTAAATTTCTCTAATACGGTTTGGTTTGTAAAGCAAGTACTTGTGTCTGAAATTTCTCCCTTTCCTGCACCGCCTCTCAGCAGGACAGACACCATTTCCTGCCCTGCAAAATACACCGAGTATTTAAGACTCCTAAATCCTGGTTTTTGCAGCCACGTGGAATCAGTGATAAGATGATGTGAGATTGATTAGGAACCTGTCTCACTGACTGTGGAACTTGAACAAAACATTCCCATGTACTGAAGGGTCACAGATGTAGGCTCCTTAAGTGTGTAATATATTGGCATTTGAGAGAGCAGTTAAATTCTAACATTAGTTTTTAACCTAACTGAAACGCCAGTCTATTATCTGATCAGTAATTTGGGTAACATCTGCTTGGTCAATGTTGCAATAAGCACCATTTTGCTAAGGCAGAACTAGAAACTCCTTTCGTTCGCATAATACACGCGGGTTTCCTTTTAAAAGCCTCCTCACAGCAGCATGGTCTGAAGTGCCTTTTCTGTGAGATCAGAGGTCTCTTTTACGGCTACTGAGCTTTGTATTTCTGGATATACCCAACGGCCAAATATGTAAACCTCATTCCATATGCTTCCTGCAGCTGCTAGTGTCGTTGCCCATTCTGTAGTACCTTTGCAGTGAAGCAAAAATGCTGTAGTTTGCATTTCTGGTTCATGGAAAAGAATTCTGAAAAAGTTCCTTTTGATTAGTACATGTGTAACTAGGGTACCAGGGAGAGTCTGTGCCTGTACACTACCCACCTGAACTCAATTTTAGCTAACCAGATGACAGTGTGTATTTTGGGAGATGGTGTCTGGCACTTAAAGGATTAAAAGAAGCCAAGTTTTACAGTAAAGAATCAACCTGTTTAATGTGGTATCCATACTGGAGGCGGATGCCATTACCAGTGACTTTGTGAAAACAACTGCAAGTTCCAGTGGTGTGCTCGGTTAACTCTGGCAGAAGTGAGGCTATTAACACAGGAGGGATAAAATACAGCCTGGTCCAATGTTACAACAGCATTTGATTGCCATTAGCTGCTCTTGCATACGTACCCATAATCAGGCAGGTACTTCTTTCCCTTTTTACCCCAGTTTGGATTTCAGGGGACCACGAGGCAGAAATGTATGGATAACCAGCCTGGTACACTGTCTGACTGGTGTCTGACACGCCCGTGCAGGACAGCAGTTCTCTCTGGCCCACGTCCCCTTCAGAGAACTTAATCCCAGTTGACTTTACACAGTTGTAGCATTGGTGTAAGAGCAGCATTGGTATGACCTTGCTGTGAGGTAGAAGTGCTGTTTTCTTTTCTTTTGAAATAGGTGAAAGCTAAACATTAGTATTTTTTAGGAATTTGTCAGCACGTGACTTCAGAAGCACCCGGTGTATCATATACATGATACAAATTAGCTGGTTGCTCCTCTCCAAAAGTAGCTCTGCAAGGAGCTGGCACCTCCATTTCACCAGCTGCAGTGGTTTTAAACAGCAGCCTCTACAGCTGGGAACCCTTCAGGACTGTGTACTAACCATACCTCAGCATTTTTCCTCCTGATGGAGAAGTGGCAGCTGGAATGCTTGTAGGACGTCAATCCTACTTTGCCAGCCATATGAGATTTCTCCAGGTATGTTCCATCTAGAGAAGGTTTTAAGGCAACCAGACTGGTCTGGAGGGCTTGGCTAGCTGAAAGCATGGTCTGTGATCCTTCCTGCCATCGTGCCCTCTCTCTGCCAGTGCTTGCTGTCTCCCTTAAACACACGTTCAGGAGCTGGAACACAGTGACCTTATTCCTGGGCGTTGTGCCACTTCCATGGAGGGAGGCCAGCCTAAACTCATGAAGGGAATGTGTGACACACGGCCTCTGTTGCCCAAGCAATTTCTGTTGGACACGGTGCACCATCCAACCCTCACAAAGGCAATTTAGAGCCCGGGTAGGTGGTTCCTGATCTGTCCAATTTGCTGTCATGTAGCCAATGTGAGTTAATTAGATGATTCAGCAATTGTCATGGTTCCCACTTAATGTGCTGTAAACCCTGCTGCCGTGACTCTCACTGCAGTTAAATGCCTTTGCTTCTGGGAATTCTGTCCTCCTTCCCTGCGTTTTCTGATCACCTTCTAGCATCCCAGTAAATAATTGATTCTCTCAAATTATGGAATTGTTACACAGAAGTTCTAGATTCTTAAAACCTTTTAATCAGCTTCTGAAGAATTTCAGAGAAACAAGTTTTCCTACAAATATTTCAACATTAGTGTGTCAAGGGATTATTTCTACTCATTTACAAAGATCTCTGAAAACCACTCTGGTATCTCGGGAGACTAGAATTCTTTCTTTGAGAACGCTTGCCTTCTGGTAGGAAAAAAGATTTAAAGTGTGTCTTACTCAGTAAAAGACTATGCCCTCTAGCCACTGAAAGAACTTAATTGGGGGAAAACGCACAATGTAAAATTATTGAGGCTTTTTCATTTCATTGAACTATTGAGAAAAACTTCCCTGTCCACAAGTTTCTTATATTAGTAGGAAGTAGAAAATAAAGAGTGGCATGAAGATTTATCAAGTGGTCTATGAAAAAATTTTCCGGTTTGTTGGCTGTTCAACTATGGGCATCAGTCTCTTGGCACTTCTTCTAAAACTCCAAGATAGCAATAAATGTGAGCAGCTTCAACGTCCCATCCCTTATCCAGTCCCAGTAACGTCCTTGGAGAGCGAGCCTGGCAGTTCCTGTCTTTTCTGTCACCGATGCCCTGAGAGAAAGTGTCCCTTGCTTCATTTGTATTCTGCATCTGTGCTGCTGAGAGCCCACGGATCATCGCAGTCTAGAGGTGGGATCCTGAACATCTCTCCAGAACCATATAAATGAAAAGCAAGCAGACAATATAGAATTTCACTCTTTACTAAGACAAAATTGCAAGTTTCCCTCTGCCTCTCTTGCTTGGTAGGTTGAGATAGGATCATTCAGTATTAGAACTTCTTGCCTTTAGCTAAATTCCCTGTAGACAGTTGCCTACTTAATCAAGAGAAAAGTATGTCCCAGGTTCAGATGAATTCCAAGTCACAGTAGCAGCTTACAAAAATGGCTACTATTTCCACTGGCTCTGGGAAAACAGCACAAAACTGCTGCACTGGATTCTTTTGGATGCATGATGAGATATGTAAATTTGAAGTTCAGATTGTTGGTCTCGGTTGTGAAACTGACTAAGACCTCTCCTCTCTGGCATCAAAAGAATGAAAATGAGCTCTCTGCTGGACTCACTGAGGAGCTGTACTTCCTTAAAAAACAGGAACTCAGCTTGAACATTCAGGACAAAGACCCTCTCAGGCTTCCTGCTGAATAAATCTATTGAAAAAATGAGATACCTTACTGACTTATTTCAAGCAATGCAAAGGGATACTGTAGTTGCATCTGCTATCTATAGTATATGAGACAGCTTGTCTAACAGCTCATTGGTTTCATTCGTCTGTTTCAGCACATCTAGTTTGTTGTGAATCTGATCCTTATTGTGAAAATTGTTATAGTCATTTTAGAAATCCAGTAGAGAAACTCTGCACTGAAGTCCAGTGCCTATGGACTGTGTCAGCAGTTTTCAACTGTACTTTCTTTTGAACATTAACCACTTAAGCTAGTAATAAAGCGTTTGACATGAATTGTCATCACAAAGTTGTTTTATTACTTGACCTCAGAAGTTATGTCTCCTTAGCTGTATCTGTGTCATCAAAATCCATACCTATTTATGTCCCAGTATTCTAGTGCTCCTGAAACATCCTCCTTTTCCCCACTGTGCCCATAGAAATGGGACTGATTCCATTGTTCATCTGTAACTGATGTGTAAGACAATACAGAAGCGTCAGTAGGACACATCCGCCTGTCCCTCTAGTCCGGGGTCTTCTAGGAGAAAGGGTGCTTTTTCTGCTGGAGGCAATGCAATGCCTTACTAACAGTAGCTGTGTGAGTTTTCTGAGAGAAGAGTTCATCATAGTATAAGATTTAAATTCAGTGGTTTTTTTCTCCAGTTCCTGTGGCTGCATGAAATGTTCAGACCACATGTTTACCTTGATGTTTAAGAAGAGCTGAATGTCCAAACGTGGAACATGGAGATGTTCAATTCTAAAGCAAATATCTCATTTTGGATGTTGTTGTATCTTGTATTTGGTGCCTTAACTGTACAATCCAAGGTCAGATATATACTGTACAACAGGTAGTTAAGTGTACTTTAAAAGAACCCATCAAGCCTAGTCTACAGAAACTGTTGCAAAGCCTTCTCAGTGGGAGAGTTCTCTTCCATATTTAATTAATAATCCATTGATGAACAAGAGTCGCAAGAATTTAAAGTGCATATAAAAATTGTAACCACAGATTAAGATTGAATTTATCTGATTTCCAACTTCGAAGGTTTGTGGCAATAAGATAATTAAAGGTACAGTCTCTTCTATGCTGTGTAAGTAAACATCAAAATGTTTTCTACCTAGCCAGAAGTGCATGTTTGTGAAAACCTCTGGACTGTTATCTCTAGTAGAACAAATGACACTAATTCTAAAAGCAATTAATTGAATGTAATTGGCTGTCCTTCATTCATTGATACAGAGGAGCTGGAATGAGTAAAAGTTGCAATTAATTTTTAATTCCAAAATAGCACATAGACTTAAGGCGCGTTCCTGCCTCTTACCTGGGTGTCGAAGCGCCGGGTGCCTTACGCTGCTCTGCGGTTCCCGAGGTGCAGTGCAGCTCCCACCTGAACATGGGCTGGCCGAATGCAGCTGGTCCTGGGAGAATGGACTGAGGCAAGAGAGAGAGAGAAAAGACAAAAATGAAGCTAGAATGACCTTCTCCAGTCTTAAAGGTCGATCGTCGCAGATAGGAAGTGGGGGGGAAAGCTGCACCTCCTTTTCCAAGTCCATTCCTAGTCTGTGGTAAAACCAGGAGGTTTATGTCTACTGTGGTAAACCAGGAGCCTTAGTATACTAAGAGCAGGGGGAGATGGTATTGGTTTTTTAAATGGTTTATAAGAAATTAGATAGGAGGTTTAAGCTATCCTTACAGCAGGCTAAAAGCTGCTAGTGATGTTGCTACAGGCAATTAATATTTTTTTTTCTGTTCAGTAAACAAATCCAGCATGGAAGGTTTTCCAGAGGAGAAAGATGAACAGGAAAAATCCAGTGCACAAATTCTATTTCCTGATAGAGCCCTGTCCAGAGCAGGAAGACTGCTCCAGGCAGTGCACATAGCATGCAACTGAATTTTGGCAGCAAAAGGAATAATAGTAATTTCCCCTAAAGGAATACTAGTAACTTATTTCTACAATGCCCACGGTATTCCAGACAACTTCATTTTACACAGAACATCATTGCAACAAGGGAAAGCAGATACTGCTTCCACAACTACATGTTATAATGTACATATTTCAGGTCACCAACATTGGTGTAACCACTTATGACAAAGTAGGTTCATCTTGCCAGAAAAGCATATTTTGACATTCTATCCACTTCTATTTTTTTTAAGCTAGAGGAGAGTTAATTATAGCACTCATCTGTTTTGAAGGGAGTAGAGCAGAAGGTAAGTTTTAACTTCATATTTCGAAGCTGCTATGAATAAGTTGATTAACAGTGTTCCATGGAAACAACCTGATGTACTTAATTATTTTCTTTGTGCTCATTTCTATGTTCTTAGAAAAGCACAAGCTTGTTTAAGCATAATCAATACAAAGTTACTCAGGGTACTGTGTCATCTCAGCAGTGGACACTAAATGCATCTTAAGTCAACAGGCACATATAAATCAAGCTTAATTAAGAGGAAAAGAACATCTTGGCAGGTTTTGCTTTGCTACTGGCACCGTTACAATTTAATGATCTATGCATAGGGAAATGTATGTATTGCTGCACTCCCAATAAAACTTGTAGGTCTGTAAGGGCATCCTTTAAACTAACAAAGTAAAATGTTAGCGTAGGAGAGAGAGTATTCTTATTTCCACAAAGAACCGTTTAGAAGCAGACCCAAAGTGATACTGATCCAAGCAGAATAATGGTGGGCTGAAGAACAGCATTCAGAGCAGTACAGCTTTTGAAAAGTTAGCAATTGTGTGAATTTAATTATGAAAATTCTAATTTGCCATATGGAATTTTTCCTGTGTTTTCAAAGCAGTATCACTGGTTCCCTGCTCAAAATAACAGGATAAAGACAAGTATAGTTTTCTAATACCATCTATTGCATGGGAATATCCTCATACTGGAAGAAAACGGAGGCTGTAATGCAGAGGGCATATTCAACTACAGAGCCATTCTCTGGGCAATGCTGCATTATTTAAGAGTGGGTAAATATGCCTTCAGGGACAACACGACACAGAACAGATGTTTTAAAAAAAACAACCAACCAAACAGAAAAAAAGCCTCAAAGCTTTGTCCAATCATACATTTCCTCTTCCCTGAAAAAGGGACAGGTACATTCATATGTGCTTAGTGAGTTATACATCAGCCATCACAAAGGTCCTTAAGGACAAATGTTTCTAAGCTGGTCTGCTTTTGGACAGAAAAGGGAGAACGTTGACTCTGTCTTCCAGTTCCAAAGTGCAGTGTCTTATTTCTGATCCTAACCCTAAGTCAATATTTATTGATCAAACTGACTAAGCTTTTTAGGTCGACAAACTCTCTACGAAGCAATTCTGTTCTCTCAAGCCTCTGCAGGGGCCAGCAACTGGTGCTTAACTACTGCTTCCACTCCAGAATGTCACCCGTCCTCCAGCTGTCCCAGAGCCACTCTGGGACACTTGCACTTCTAAGAGAGCAACACTGCTGTGGGGGGACTGTCAAAGCACTGAGATACTACAGCAGAGCAAGTCCCTGTGGGCTGTATGCTTCTTAAAGTCCTGTCCAGTTCTTAGTGACAAAGTTGAGCATGAAACCTGTACTGCCAAACGTACCAGCCCCTTCATGAGAAGGACATCTATGGGAAGCAGTCTTGGAAGTGGAGATTTTGAGGAAAGGCTGGTGTTTTCCAAGTCCAACTCATAAGTTGTTTTGGGGTTTTTTTAAGTGGTTGAGTTTCCACCCTACAAAAAATCACCATCAGTCAAATCAATTAGAACAATTGCTGCTAATTTGGGCTAAAACATTCCCCTTGTATAACCCAAACTACCACCACCCATCCATCTAAGGAATTCTTAAGCAAAGAATCCTCAGGAGGCGGAGCCCTGCTAAGAGTCTGCACACTAGAAGGCAGACAGGAAATGTGGCAGTGCAGTAGAATGTGACTTTTCTAATGACACGTGCTTCTACAAGACAAGGAGAAGAGAGAGGCAGTGCTTTGGGGCAGTGTTTCATGCTCAGCAAGTTTGTAGAGGGAAGGAATGCAATTCTATAAATCACTTGTACTGTATTTCTGTTTCTAGACTTGAATGAATTTCACTTTTCCTTTGTGGGTCAGCATAGTAAACATTAAAGAAAAGATCTATTTTTCTAAAATCTCTTTCACCCATAGAGGTCTGACCTGCAGCCAACAGATGGATTTATTTATCCACAGAGGACAGAGTGTTTATTTTTACACTAAGATTGGATATGGCATTGAAAAAAAAGAAGTATGACCTTTGAACTATCTAAACCTTAACTACTATGAACAAATTCCACAAATGAGTAATTTGGTGGTCAATTCCATCTTTCTTCCCAATGAATCTCTCTCTCCAAAAAAGTTACCCAGAATTAAACTTCCAAATGAAGTACAAGAGATCCTTTTGGTCTAATTGCAGACTACTTTCAAAAAATTTAAGATTTCTCCCAAGTTTTAATCTGTAGAAAACAATGACAATTAAACTATTCCTGACTATACTGTAAATAATGCAACTTCAAATAAAGTAATTCGGCAACAACCTTAGCTATTTATAGCATTAAAAATGTAATCTGAACATTCGAGTTGTCTTAATTTGGTAGCAGCTGAATGGGAAGAAAAATAACTGCACACTGAATTTTACATTGAGCTATATCTACTCACTAGCCAAAAAAGCCTGCAAATGTAAAGTAAATGGAATGCTCTTTGTACATTAAGTTGCTTCCTCCCGTGATGCTGTACCCTGTACACTTGGCTTCATCTGGCTTCTGTGTTGTGGTTTGTACGCCAGCCACTGTTACTAACTGTACACAACACTTAGATCTGCACTGTAATCTCGGTTCATTTGCCACTGACTGTAACCCGATGCTACAGACTTCTCTGTATATAAAACCGTAACCATATCCCATTTGCTTCCAATAGCATACAATAAAGGCTTATCTCTGTAAACAGGAATTACGGCCTTATGATTGGTTTGGGTTTTTTTGTTTACAGTGAGGAAACTGACTTTAGGGTTTTCTGAAGCCTGGGAAGCCAAACCACAAAAGTCCATTCTACTTCAGTCAGGTAACAGGCTGAGCAGACAGCGAGACAGCGCTTCCTAAGGCTGCAGTTTTATCAGAGATGATTATTAGCAAAATCATGACTTTGAGATGTAAACATAAAGCACATTTATTCTGGAACAAGCAGAATGCATTCCTTCATGAAAATGGCAGCGAACAGAGTATACAGGACTGAAATTGTGCAAGGGCTGCTGCACACAAATACAACTGGGGGTTAGCCAATGGAAGTAGAAACAGAAAAGCCCAGAGAAGGCTGTGATCAGACTACCCAGGAAAGCAAATTTTACTTCAGAATGAAAACCGAGTATTTCCGAGTACTTAGCTAATTAAAAAAATTGGACGTCTTATTTTCTTAAAAGATAAATTATATATATATAAAGAACAAGTAAGGTTTTCTCTTAAACTTTTTTACTCTCCTGCCCTTCTCATTTCACTGCATTTCCTAAACATTAAATTCCTGTGGTCCCAGTTTGTCCTCTGAGGTCTGAAGCAAATCCAAGCAATTTCCTTGTCCAGAGCCATTGAGGGCAGGAGTTGAGGACACCATGACAATTGTGTGGCTGCTGTTGTTTGCTTGAGGCTGCAACTCATGGCAAGATGTACTGGAATATACAAGTATGTCCAGTTGCCTGGAGTTACAGAACACAGTTTTACTCTAGAAGGGAAGACAGAGACTTCATTTTATCATATGCTTTTACCTTCTCTTAGAAGTGTTTTTTCCAGTCTTTAATTCAGCATTTCAGCAGAGGTCATTAATCAAATTCAAGGGATATCAGCCTTGAGGAAGGATTAAAAACTGTTGTGGGCTGACTAAAGTTGAGATTGCTTTTAATAAAATGGGATGTGTGGAGCCCCACAGCGTAGCATATATGACAACTGGAATAAGAGCTGGTGTGAGACTTTCGCACTCAGCAAAACAGTGTGCAGCCAGCTGAGTCTGCTGTTGTGCAGCAAGCAAGTCAGTACCGCACATAAGAGCTATTGAGGGACCACTGTACCAAAACCAACTAAACCATGCCTCACTTAAAATTCAGAGCTGCATCAAATATTTAGCAAGTAAGATCCATAAAGAACTGAACGCAGTCAGTTAAGAAAACATCATTAACGCTTGGCTAAAACTGAGGTCAGTTTTACCCTACAGATCAGCATAATACCATACCTATGTGCATGCTTAATGTTAGCTAGCTTATTAAGAGGTCATTCAGAAAGCTACCTCAGGATTATCATCTCGGAGGTGCTGAGAAGGCTGGCAGATCTTCAGCACTACCCTGGCAATTGCTGGTCAGTGACAGGTAATGAAATAAGCTGGGCCCACTCCAGGAGCTGGCTGACATTCTGTGGCCTCGCAGGAATGAAACAAGGGGTAGCTGAGGGAGTGGTGCATGGGAGGAGTGATACAGTACTGATTCTCGATTGATAAAGGAGGTTGGCATCCTTAGTTGTACTCCTGCCCTGGTGTAGCTAGCCTGAACTTGCCCAGGCAGTTACAGAGTGTCTTGTTTGGGAAAACTGGGAAGCTGTGATCTATGGCCCCTTGTACTCATTACTGTTACCCCCCCCGCCCCTCCAAACCAACAAACAATAGCAAAGTCTGTCTACTTTTTCTCAGCGTACTGCAATGTTTCACTGTCAACCTGCAGATGAATGCATGCAGGGAGATCTGCAACAGAAAGCTCCTTCATCATTCTCACACCCTCCCCAATCTCTAGCCCCGTCCCTTGCTGGCACAGCACTGAAGGGATCCACGCGGAAAGAATCATCTGATTAACAAGCAGGATGCCCAGCTTATCTTGCTGTAATCAACAGCACGTTGAAAAAGTGTACTTGATTACAGGGGAAGCAGGAAAAATTATTTATTCACTGATATCCATGCAACTAACAAGCCAGCCTGTCACTTCCATGTGTAAAGAACTGCTGCATTTATAAACCTGCCCACAAAATCAGGGAATGAGCTCTAGTCTCACTTTACAATAAACATGCAATACCAAACAATGGAAATTCCATGTTCTACTGTCTCTTAATTTCAGCAGCCTAATTTATCTAGATGTCAGTTCTCTTTTCTCATGAATAAACAAGAGATCCCAAATGCAAGGTTTTGTAACTGGCATTGGGGACACTGAGGGCTTTCAAAAGCTCTTATTTACTCAAAAACACACTTACAGTCTGTATACAGCAAACACTAAATCATCCCTCACTCTGGTCTACTTTGATGCTGGTCTATTTTAAGAGACTTGCAAAATGGTAAGGGAAAGCAGTTAATGCAGAGTGAAACTAGAGGTTTACTTTCACAAGAAATTTGGATACTTAATGTACCTCGAACAAGGACATCTGTGCTTCCCAGGCTCATGCAGACCTTCCACAAGGCTGCCAGATAGTTGATGATTCCAGATTTCCTTGCAAAAATAATCAGCGCTCATTTCAGCATTTAGGTTTCTGTAAACATATGTGCATGACACCCTACTTGCCACAGGACCCGAAACTTGGGTGACAACAGTTAGTTGTTGCTCAAAGCAAAGACAAGCATGGGATCAATTCCTATTGTTCCACAAAGAGCATACAAGAGGGCAGATCATAGAACTGTCCAGTGTGTGCCAGCTGTACTGTCCTAAATTTCATCCTCAGACCAAAATCCCACAGAGCTATTGCACTCTGTCATTCTTTCCATCAAGCACTTAGTCTCCCTGATACCAGAGGAATCTTTGTCTCTGCTGCACAACTCCCTACTGGCATTTTACACTTATTTGAGCACTACCTCTCCTTACAGGGCCAGCCTTCAATAAAAGAGAGGAGTTATTTCTTCACCAGAACTGTCCCCTCTGCTAAGCTAGCACTAAGTCTTTGTGAACAGCACCCCTCTTTCTGCAAGAACACAAGCATCACCTCACTTAATTGCTCACGACATAATGCTGACTTTGGTTGTTTGCTGCAGGGTTGAGTTCCAGCAAGTCAGCTAGAAAGAGTCCTTCTATTTCCCATTTGCTAAGCTGTAAATTATCCTTCCCTTTTGTCACCCCAATCCTTGGTACACTCAACTGAAAGAAACCGGAGCTCCTAACCCTTTCAGTGCCTTGCATTCATCTTCCCTTTGGACTATACGTTCCAGCACATTTATTTCTAAAGCTGTAAAAGGCCTGTGTGTACTCTTGTAACAGTAATACAAAAAGGCCCTTTCTTGCTCCATGCACAAACATCTAAAAAAGCCTTGTGATCTCAAAAAAGGGTCACATACCCTTGGGATCTCAAAAAAGGGTCACATACCCTAGCACAGGTAACACTTCCCTCTGGTACCATTCCCTTAGGTGCTGACACATACCAAAGATGGGATTTCCTGCTTGCAGTGAAGGCAAACTCAGCCCGCTGCTGGTTATCATTTATTCAAAGGGATAACTGCTGATTACAGCTGAAGAAGGATGGCTAAAATGGGCCAAGACAACAAACTATTGCTCAGTAAATCAAATCACACTGCCCTGCAAAGCAATTTCACACAAACTCCTGTATTACTGACGCTGCAGGTCTTGTGGTGGCACCAGGATTCTTGCATAAAGCACGAAGCAAGCATGTGGACAGCAACAGGGATTTAAGCTGCAAATTACAGGTCAGTTATCCTGGCTTTAATGAACAATGTGGTTTTGAGAAAGATGCTGTTACGTGTTGAAGTCACATAATTTTTTGTGTCTGCAGCTTGGGAACTGCAGAGATCTGCAAGTGCCTCAGTTTAGGCTGTGAATAAACAAACCTGAAAGACAAAGATGAGACCAAATCCCAGTGACTGCAGGAAGGGCGATGACACCTCTCTCCATCTTCTATTAAATCTTCCTCATGCCGGTTAAGATTAAAGGCTTACATCTCCAGAAAATTAAGCCAAACTGCAAGAAACTGCTCCAAACCGACTTTGAGGGCTCCATTTCTATGTGGTCTAAAAAGAAAAGGTGCTCTTGCAGAGAAAGCCAAGAGCCCATTTGCAAGCCCCAACCTCAACTGGCAGACCTAGTTCCAGGCCATTCCATCTTATCTTGGCAACAGTGAAGGCAGAGCCCTGCCTGCACCCTGCCGGGCTGAGGGGTGGGATTGCTCCTACACAACAGCTTTGTACTTGGAGATGGAAGGCAAAGATCAATAAACTATTCCTGCAATGCCACAGTTACAAAAAAGGATCTGTCCCTCACAGCTCTGGCTGACCTGCACAGAAAGGACAGTCACACAGATCCTTCCTCATTATTCCAATGCTTTGTTTGGTATATTTTGCTCTGCAAATGGTCTGCATGTTTGAGCAGCTATCTCAAGATATTTCATACTCTATTTAAAATAATCTCTCACCTTGCTTGCTATGTACAAAGGGCACATGGTCTATTCAGGGTTGTCTGAGACAATGAAGTGGCTTATTTTAATACTGGAACACATTAAAAATTACACAGCTGAAGCAAAAGACAACACCCTCCCTTGCATAAACAACAAAATAAAAAAAACCAAACACACCACTAAGGCCAGACTAGCACATACTCAGATCAGAAAAACGCAGCAGTGTACAGGTGAAAAATGATGAATAAACTAAATTCAAGTACATTACATAATTCTCATTGAGAATAAATGAAAGACGACTTGGACAACATTTAGAACTTCCCAGCCATGCCACTTATTACTGGCATCCTCACTCTGTCCCCACCACGGAAATGAGCAGCACCTGTAACTTCTAAACACATTAAGAGATCAGAGGAGGCCAATGAGTTGTTAGTGGATTCTAAAAACAGTCTGTTACTGTAATGCCGAGACTGAAGGCACCCAGGAGCTCTCCAGTTTGCTGTTCGTGTCTGTGCTAGCAGCAGATAGCTCATCCATAATTCATACAAGTCTGGCAGAGGCTTCCATAAACCCTCTGGCATGCTGGGTTTTTCA